CAAGGTCTCCGAGGACAAGCAGGCACTCAAGTTCATCAAGAAACAGGTGGGGACACACATCCACACAGAAGAAGCATGAGGAGTTGAGCAATGTCATGGCCGCCATGAGGAAGGCAGCGGCCAAGAAGGACTCAGCGCCCTGGGCCCCCAATAAAGCCTATGTAGGAAAAAAAGGAAATGTTCCAGGTAGGGATGTCCACACACCCCGCCCACCAAGACAGAAACCAGGTGCAGAAGTCCTTGCCAGGAGCCCCTCCTGTGCTACCCTGTGGCCACATGGGCCAGGAGCCCCTCCTGAACTACCCACCTCTGTGACAGCATGGGCCAGGCATTTTTAGAGGGCTGCTTGTGTCTCCATACTAGACCATGAGTTCTTCTAGGCAGAAAGCCTCTTTTAGTTCTCTCTCTAGCACTTATATAATAACTTGGTACTTGGGAGGTACTCAACTGCTTTTTTTTTCTAAAATTATTTACATTCAAAATAATTTATTTCTGTACCTGTTAGTCATCGTGAGCTGCTGTGATCCCATCTTCTCAGTAATCCACTGTACACTGAACAGGTCGCTCTTACCTCTGAATCCAGCACACTCTGACATCTCCACAGCAAGCTGTCCCTGACAGAGGAGGCGGGGCATGCACATGGCACATGGGCTGCAAAGACCCTGGGAGAGAGGGGCTGCCTGCCTCATCACTGCCCCACCTCCTCACCTGGCCCACCGCATCCTGCCGAGCCTACAAACACAAGGGCTCCCCCTCCAAGTCACTCCTCTCCTATCAGACGTGGGCAGGTCTGCTCTGCCAAGCAGACAAGTAATTGCCTCCCTGAGCCACTGTACTTGAATTCAAACTGTATTTGAATATCAGTTAGGTGTCAGGTACTTCAGAGTCAGAAAGTAATAAAACACAGTGTTTACCCTCCATAGACCTATACTACAATGTGCAAACCTTTATGGAGAACGATGTGGCAACGTCTCAGAGTTATTTACTAAATGCCCTATGACCCAGCAATTCCAATTCTAGGAACTTGTTGCACAACATATTATACACATGTAAAATGACAGCTGTACAAGGACATCCATTGTGACACTACACAATAGCAAGACTAGAAACTATCCAAATGTCCATCAGGGGAGATTAGTTAAGTCAATTATGAAACACCAATAAAATGATAAACCATGATGCACTTAAAAATAATGAGGCAGGCCGGGCATGGTGGCTCAAGCTTGTAATCCAAGCACTTTGGGAGGCCAAGGTGAGAGGATTGCCTAAGCCTGTGGGTTCGAGACCAGCCTGGGCAACATGATGAGACCTCATCTCTACAGTAAATCAAAAATTATCCGGGCGTGGTAGCATGTGCCTGTAGTTCTGGCTACTTGGAAGGCTGAGGCGGAAGGATTGTCTAAGCCCAGCAGGTTGATGCTGGGGTGGCCATGAGCATGCCACTGGGTGACAGATGCTTCAACTCAAAAATAAAAATGAGGCAACTCTTTGTGCAGTGATCTAGAAGCATAATCCACAACAGATATCGAGTGAAAAAATTAAGGCAGAGATCAACATATATAGTATGCCAACCCTTGTGAAAGTAAACAAAATCTGCATCTATATATGTAAAGAGAGGATCTCCGGTTAGGTTAGCTCCCTAGGGCCACCAGAACACATCATCACAAACTGGGATTTATACAAAAGAAATGGATCCTCACAGTTCTGGAGGCCGGAAGTCCCATACCAAGGTACCAAGGGACCACACTCCCTCTGAAGGCTCTGGGAAGAACCTGTCCTTGACTCTTCCAGCTTCCAGTGGCTCCAAGCCTTCCTCAGCTTGTGGCCACATCACTCCAATCTATCTCTGCCCCCATCTTCACATGACTGCTACTTCTGTGTGTCTCTTATAAGGACATGCCATTGGCTTTAGGCCCTACCCTGAATCCAGGATGATCTCACCTTGAGATCCTTAGCCACATCTGCAAAGACCCTATTCCCAAATATAGTCACTTTTATAGGGGATTATGAGGGCTGGGACACGGGCACAGCTTGGGGAAGAGGGTCACCATTCAGCCTACTCTACTGGTGCCACAGACAACTCTTTTCTCTGAGTCATGGTATATACTCATCTCCCCCTCTAGTAAACACCCCCACCCAGTTCTGGCCAGCCCTACCCCTTCCATTGCTCCCTGGACTTACCTGTGGTAGCTTTGCAACCTGTGACCCATGTAACAGTCAGAATGATCTTTCTCTAAAAGTCATCAAGGTAAGACATTCTCTTGCTCAAGAGCTCTCCACCTCACTCACAGTGAACTACAACGTCTGCCTGCTGGCCCAGCTAGGCTGGCTTCTCACCTCACCTCCTGGCCACTCTTATCCTCTGTACTCCATGCCAGTCACAAAGTCCTCCTGGCCGGCTCCTCGAGGGTGCCAGGCCTGTACCTCCCCATGACCTCCACATGGTGTCTCCTGCCTGGAGCACCTCTCCCCAGCTGCTCGGATGCAGCCCAGATAAGGCCTCTCTCTGCTCAAATGTTTCACTGGAAAGGCTTTCCCTGACCACTCTTCTGAAGTAGCACCGCTCCTTTCACCTTCTCTCTGTCACCGGTCAGCAAGCTACAACACCCAGACTCCAGTTTGACATCTGCTTTCATAAATCAAGTTTTGTTGTCCTGTTCATTTGCTTATGAACTGTTACAGCTACTTGATAGCTACATCTGCAGAGGCGAACAGGAGCAACAAAAACCAGACGGTGTACAAAGCCTAAGACAAGTGTGCTCCGTCCTGTCACTTGCTTTAACCTCTCTCCAGCACCTGATATATCTATCATCTGTCTCTACCCACCATAATAAGTTCCTTGAATAAAGGGCAACTTGGCACACTTTGTTCTGAGCTGAAGTTCAGTGCCTATAACAGTGCCTGGAACACAGAAAGTGCTCAATAAACCTACTAAAGGAATGCACAAACGAAGAAGCAATGACTGTCTCTGAGCAGTACTCAGGGGCTAGGGAACAGGGATAAAAATGACTTTCACTATACACCCTTTCAAACACTGTCATTTTATATCAAATGCATGACTACTTGTTAAACACATAATTTTTAAAAAAATATATGAATAGAGAATTTTGCAAGCGAAAAGCAAGGCAATTACCCTCTCAAATAAAGCTATAATAAGGAAGGAGGGGCAAAGTACATACTTGGCTTTGCAGAAAATAATTTTGTTATTTACAAAATCAGTATTATAAAATACACTGATTTAGTCAGCAACAATGATGTGACTGAATGGAGAAATGGAAAAAAGAAGGTGGAAAATAATGTAAAAGAGCCCAGTATACATCTATCCATCAGCAATTAAATAGATAATTACCAAAGTGGAAACCATGAAAAAGCAGAACAATAAAATCACTTAGCAAGATGAAGGCAATTCCAGAAAAAATAGGTAAAAGTTAGTATGGTTTCCCTTGAGGGCTGGGTATCTTAAAAAAAAAAAAAAAAAGGTTTCTTGGTACTATTTAAAAGTTTAACCATTACATTAAGTTTGGTTAAAAGACAGAAGGAGTGTTCAACTGTTGGGCGTGTCCTTCCCACTGTTAATACCACACTGTGATCACTTTACACACCGTACTAAGTACTCATACCCCAGCAAAGAACAAACAACAAAGTCAAAATGTCTGCTGCCTTTCACAGATGTCTTTCTGAAGACAGGGGACCCTGAACGTTAAAGCTGAACTAAGCATTAGACATGCTCAGGCATGTGTTGCTAACTTGATATTGCCACCTCGTATCTAAGGCTAGGAAGTACATTCCCAGAATCCCCTGACTGTTAGGATTTTTGGCTAGGACTGGCCCAAGGGGATGAGAGGACCTGGGCAAGGCTGGGAAGGCAGGAATGACACAGGACTGTGATGCAGTGACAGAGGTACAGGGTTGTCTGGTCACCCCAGTTCTCGGCTCGCTTCCCACTGGGTGTTCCCCACTTCCTGCTGCTGGTCAGTTGACCCACAGAGGCCAGCAGAGTGCCAGTTCTAGCAATGCTCCCTAAGATGTGACAGTTTCTAAGACCTCTTATGATCCCACCCTGAAGTTCAGGCATGTGTGCATCTTTCTCGTGTTTCCTCACAAGTCTTCAAACTGTCCATCTGGGACAAATCGGCTTCAGCAGAGCATTTCTCTGACCCTTTAAGTCACCCTCCCACATGTGAGAGCTACTGACATACTGCATCTTTCACTGCCATATTTACAACAGCTCTGTTTTTCTGACCAAACCTTGAATGAGATAAGAGCTGACTTTTAAAAAAGAGGTCTATATCTCTGTTTCAGTTTTTATAAGTTCAGGTTTTTTTTAGAACAAAATACATCTTAATCTCCTCCAACTAAAAACTGTCAAAAACAGAAATTTCATCTAATGCTTTTATTGTTTTAACATAGATATACTATTTCCCAGGTAATCTTATTTCCAAAATGTGGACCAAGAACTGTAACTCAACTAAAAACCTTAGAGAACTGAAGTTAGTTTTACCAAAATTAGATATTTTCCCTCATGGAAAAAAAAATCAGAAAATACCACATTTTTAAAAAAAGGTTTCCCCTGTGGTAAACTAGAAGGCCTGGTTTTTCCTGTACTCCAGGTTTAAATCACCATAACAGAATACAATATACAAGCACATTCCAGAACCTTACATGTAACATTAGCTAGTTACATTTACCTTAATAAATTTAAAGCAAAACATAACTCTTTTTCCCAAAAAATATTCTTTCAGAACAATTTTTCCCAACACATTTAATACAGTGATCTTCTATTTCTGGAAAAGACTAGACTCTCCAGTCCTTCCCACCCAAACAGAAACACCACTAGTCAAAGAGAAAATGAGCCAGGACGAGGAGGAATGCAGTGGGGAGACTTTCGGATGCAGTGGGGAGACTGTGAAGCTCAGATGCAGAGAAGAGGCATCTGCAAATGAGACTTAATCCACTCTCCAGGCTTCTTCGGGCTGGGCTGGACACAATCTGCGGCACATTCAGGGGTTGAGCACAACCAGCCTGTGAAGCTGGTAGAGAAAGGTGTTCTTCCTGCTGCTGCGCTCCTGGTCAACTGGCTCCATGACTAGCGCTGGATCAATCTGACGAGGCAGATCAAAGGACCAGTCAGGCTCTGTGACAGGGCTTTTCCAGGGATAAAATAAATAAAATCACACACACACACACACACACACACACACACACACACACACACACACACACACAAAGATCGCAGAAGGCGTTCTTTCAGTTTTCCAAAAATACTTACAGAACACTTCTCTACTCACACACTTCATACTATATATTATACATTTGATAACTCTTTTTTTTTTTTTTTTGAGTTGGAGTCTCACTCTGTCGCCCAGGTTGGAGTACAATGACACACTCACGGCCACCCCAGCACTGACATGCTGGACTCTGGTGATCCTTCTACCTCAGCCTTCCAAGAGGCCAGAACTACAGGCACACGCTACTGTACCAGGCTAATTTTTTATTTTATTGTAGAGACAAGGTCTTGCCAAGTTGCCAGGGCTGGTCTCGAACCCGTGGGCTCAGGCAATCCACTCACCACAGCCTCCCAAAGTGCTGGGATTACAGGCTGAGCCACTGAGCCTAACACTGATAATTCATTGTTAAATTTATGTTTAAAAAGATGGCAACCTTTACCGAGAACGCTCCCATATACTCCTATGTAAATGTGAACAGTAACTGCATTATAGGGATCCAAAACATGTACGTTTCTAAAACATACAAAACTCAAAATGAAATTCTATTTTCAAACTAAGTCCTGCTATTATGTCAACTTCAAACATGACTGTTGGAGCCTGATTCTGTAGGGGCTGGTGCACTACCTCGCATCACCCATGCAGGATTCTGTGCACAGTGGAACCAGCTCCAGGGACCAGGCCTGGGGTTCTAAAGAGGGAACTTACTCAAGGGGCACCAGGAGAAGCAGGCTGCCCTGCAGTGGAGGGAACCTTTAGACACAGATGAGAACACACACACCCAGAAGCAGGGTTTCACTTAAACTGCCAAAGGGATAAGGGACTGCTGCCCCACTGGCTCATTTATAAAGACATCCTTGGTTCTAGAATTAGAGTTCCCTTTCCTGAAATCACACTGCATTCCATTTCTAGTCTCACAGATGGCAGGTGTCAAGGAGCCTAAGGTGGGCCTGCCCTGCTTCACAACTGAACTATGTCCCCACAAATTCCAGTCCCTCGTATGACAGTATTTGGAGATGGAGCCTTGGATAGGTAACGGGGTTATATGAGGTCACAAGGGTGGGGTCCCAAGATAGGATCAGTGCCCTAATAAGAAGAGACATCAAAGAGGTCACTGGCTTGCACTGTGCCATGTGAAACAGTAAGAAGATGAGCATCTGCGCGTCCTCACCCAAATCAACCATGCTGGCACCCTAATCTAAGGACTTCCAGTCCCCAGAACTAGGAGGAATAAATGTTTGTTGTTCACAAGCCACCCACCTACCCACTGTGGTACTCTGTTACAGTAGCCTGAGCAGATGAAGAAAACCATCAGTGGAGCCTAAGGCTGTAAGCCAGCCAATGGCCAAGGAGTGTTTTCACACAGACCACTAACCACTGAAAGGTCTAATCCAGATGCTCACAGCTATTTTTTCCCAAACTCCCAGGGTAATTATTCTGGTTTCTGATTTTCTGCCAAGGCACTCCACAGAGGATACTGCCCAGAAACAGCCTGACGGGTCTGATATCTGCCATTCACCAACTCAGTCATCCACTTTGCCTCCTGTTCACATTCTCTTGGACCCTTAGCCAACCCTGGCTCTGAGCCCAGTGTCCTCCTGGGGCTGCCCCCTCATCCGTGGACAACTGTTTGCATGGCCTCGTTCCCACTCACCTGATTCCACTCGTAGGGTTTCTCATGCCACTTAGGAACAACCTTCTCTCTTGGTTTCATCTGACAGAACAAACTAGAATTTTAAAACAGGAAATTAAGTATCTTAATGATATATTAGTAACTGAAAACACCAATGTGATTTTTAGAGATTTAGGTCTCATATATTTCCCTCAGAATTAGGACTACAATAATCTTTAAAGGTCAAAATGTACATAGTGATGATCAGAAAATATTTTAATCTACAGCACATTCAAAAGCAGGAAGATATGGAGTCAGCAGCTCTAGGAGACCAGCCCTGATTCCCTAAATTCCCTCAGCAACCAGTCGAGGGTGCTCCATTACCACAGATCGCTGCATTTAATGAGTCCTCTGAAATTTAATGAGACATGTTTTATCATTCTCTCTTAAGCAGTCATAATAAGTTGGAAATATTCTCAGGGAGTAGAGAGGTCTGCAAAGTCCGCCCCCCTGCCCCAAGAAAACTATAAAACCAGACAAAATTGTAAAAAAACAAAAAAACTTTCTGCCAGGCAAGATGGTTCAAGTCTGTAATCCCAGCACTTTGGGAGGCTGAGGTGAGAGGATTGCCTGAGACCATGGGTTGGAGAACAGCCTGGGCAACTTGTCAAGACTTCATCTCCACAATTAAAAAAAAAAATTAGCTAGGCATGGTGGCATATTTCTGTAGTTCTGGCTACTTAGAAGACTGAGGCAGAAGGACTGCCTGAGGCCAGCAGGTCGACGCTGGGTTGGCCATGAGCGTGCCACTGCACTCTAGCCTGGGCGATGGAGTGAGGCTCTAACCCAAAAAACAAAAACAAAAACAAAAAACATCTGAAGGTCCTGGAAATTAACCAAAGGCAAATAACAAATTAAGAAGCATTCATTCGGCAACCCCTTTGGGTCCCCTCCCACTGTGGGAGCTTTTCTGTCCTCTCAATAAAACTTGCTTTAAAAAAAAAAGAAGAAGAAGAGGCATTCATTCATGACAACGGCCACACTCTAGGTGAGAACAGTGGAGTGTTTGGAGTTCTGGCCTGGGGCCACACACCCACCAGCTCAACCCAGCACTGCAGCACTGACACATATTGCTGGTAGGAATATAATGCAGAAACCAGTTTGGCCGTTTCTCTAAAAATTAACATCAACCTATCAATGCAACCTGCCAATTCCATTTACAGATTATCTACTCAAGAGAGACAAAAGATATGTTCACAAAAAGACTGTATATGACTATTCATAGCAGCATTATATATAATAGCCAAACACTGGAAATAATCCAAATATTTAATCAATTGCTGAATGGATACACAAACTGGACTATTATTTAGCAAACACAGAACATGTCACAATGAGGATGAACATCAAAAATACTAAGCTGAGTGAAAGAAATCAGATTGTAAAAAACATGATTTCATGTACACACATATGTCAGAACAGGTAAATCTATAGGCAGAAAACAAAGCAGTGATTTCCTAGGGATGGAGAAGGGAACAGGAATTGAGTGCAAATGGGCAGTAGAAACTTAGGTTTTTAAAGCAGCTTTAATGAGATATAATTTACATACCATAAAAACTCATCAATTTTAAGTATACAATTCAAAAGTTTTAGTAAATTTACAGAGTTGTACAAACACCACAATTCTGTTTTAAAATATTTGTCAAGTGACATCTGCAGCTGTTCTCGGGAGAAGTCTGAGCATCCCTAGCCCCTGCACCTAGGCATTGGAGTCAGGTATGGGCTTTACTCACACAAAGAAGAATCTAGGCAAGATCAGTTCCAGTGGTGGGCACTGGCCCCATGGCCAGCGGGTCCCTCCCGGCAGCTGAGGCAGGGTCACTGGTCTGCAGACATCCCTCTCATGCAGCAGCAAGAAGACCCTGTCTCCCCCTGCAGTAGTGGGGTTGGCCAGGTGCTGCTGGCTGCACACACTTAAGCAGGACAAAGGACACACTGAGTCTGAAACAGGAAGAGGTCTTCTCACACGAGGTGACAAGCCCTAAACAGGCTATGAGAACCCTTTGTCTCATGGGAAGGAAGCCTTCCAGGCCCACGGTCCATTTGTAGATGGCTGAGAGGAAGTGGAAAGTGTACATGAAGACTGCCTTTCCCTACAGTTATTAGTGAACTTTCAGGGATGACAGAAATGCCATAAAGCTAAGTTGTGTGGACGGACTGCACAACTACACATTCACTAAAGTAACTGAATTGTTAAAAAACAAAAACAAAAAACAAAACCCATCCATCTAGACATAACAAGGCAGGATGCAGTTATCCTCATTTGGGGGTGGGGAGTGGTGGTGGCCATGGCGCAGACCCAAGGGAGCATCAATCACTAGTGACGTTGTTTCTGACCTTTGTGCTGGCCACATGGTGTGTACCTGTGTACCTGTGCACATCATGTTAAACTTCAATATAAATTTTACATTACAATATTTTTATGTTAAAGTGAAGAGAGAAAACTAAAACTAGCCTTTCCCACAATTTCTAAGGCAGCTCTATATACTTAATATATTTTATAAAGTTCTTATTACACTAAAAGAAACCCACTCAAAATGTACAGAAAGGAGAAGAAAGTCATCGTGATATGAGATGTCCCCTTCTCTCATGTAGCTCTAAGACCTGGCTAGCACAGAACACTGTAAGGCAAGGAAGGACTGGCCCCAGCCTGACACAAGTGCAGGATTCATTGGTAGGATATCTCTGTTTCTCTTTCACGATCACTCCCACTCTTCTGGGATGTCCCAGACCCTCAGGTGATTTTAATTCATGGACTACACCCATGGGAGCCCTTGCCTCTGCATTCTGGTTGGTTTGGGCCCATGAAGAGTCCAGAAGGAGGTGAGGAGAAGAGAGTCAAGTCAGGATGCTCCTTCTCTGACTTCTTCCCCTGCAGGGAGACTCAAGAAAGGGCCCAGTTCTCTCACTCACCCCTAAGACACCCACTGGGAATGGTGGGCACTGCATTATCCATTGCAGTCTTCCCACTCACTCCCCATGCTGTTTGTGATTATTGCCTTATTACACTCTCTTCAAGTTTTAAAACTAGAGTGTGTCCACTGTTTTCTGCCTGGATCCTTACTGACACACGGGACATGGGTGAATGTTCCCACAGTAAGTTGGTGCCTACATTCTGAGACGCCCCAGATCCTGCGTCCAGCACTGGAATTTTACATCTAGTGATCAATCTGTCATATCTCCTAAATAATTCAAAACATCTACAAGCTAAGATACTTAAGTGGGGGGAAGAAGCCCATGTTATCACACAACTTACCCTAGAAGTTTCTGACGAGCATCATCCTGTAACTGTGCCACTCTTTCTGACCCAAGATTTGCCAGTCCATTTGGTCCATCACATACGAGCTTGTTAATAGCAGCCCTGAGAATATTAACCTATAAATAAATGGCAACATTAATACTCATAAAGCTCCACTATAACTGAATTCCATTCCACATTATATAATCCATAGCATTCAGAGTTAGTATTCTATGACTATCATCAATACAGTTTCTGGGAAAATTATTAAAACAGAAAATACATCAGTAACCATTATCACAATTTAAGAAAAACAGCAAAAAAAAAAAAAAAATCAAGAAAGGTTCAAACTTTCTGGTGTATACACTTTCTAAACTTCTACATTAAAAGTCAGCATTGTTTATTTAACTCGTGGGATTGCACAGTTGTGACCCGCATCACACACATTTCTTTGACCTGCTTGACAGGATGCACCCAGAAGCCTGGGAAATACCCTTCCACCTAGAAATACCACGTGCCATGTTTCACTGCCAGGCTTTGTCATCTTTTTCAGAATAAACTTTCTATTTCTGAATAATGCTGGATTTACCTAAGAGCTGCAAAGATACAACAGACAGTTCCCCTCTGTCCCTCATCCAGGCACCCTACTGCTGACATCTCACATTCGTCACATACTATTCCCTAAACTCTGGTTGGATTTGGAGCTGGCCAGACTTCTGATTATGTCTGCTACGGTTTGGATGTGATTGGTTTGGTCCCACCAAGTCTCATGTTGAAATGTGTCCCCCCAGTGTTGGAGGTGGACTTAATGGGAGGTGTTTGGACTGTGGGGCCCTTCTTGTGGCAGTGACTTCTCACTCTTAGTTCCCAAGAGAGCAGGTTGTTGAAAGAACCCAGCATCCCCCCCTACTCTGCTTCCTCTTCCCCCAGGTGATCTCCACATGCATCAGCTCTCCTTCACCTTCTGCCATGCATGAAAGCAGCCTGGGGCCCTCACCAGAAGCAGATGCCTGCACCATGCTTCTTGTACAGCCTGCAGAACCATGAGAAAAATAAGCCTCTTTTACAGGATCCAATTCAGGACACCACATTGTACTTGTCATGTCTCTTCTGATATGGAACAGTTTCTTAGCCTCTTCTTGTTTTTTAAGACCTTCACAGTCTTGAGAAACCCTGGTCAGGTATTTTATAGAATGCCCCAGTTTGGGTTCATCTAATGTTTTTCTCATGATTACAGTGAGGTGAGGCAGCCTTCTTACCACATCACACGGTGTGCATGCCATCACTGGGATGTATCACTGGTAATGTTGACCCTTATCACTTAGCTGAGGCCATGTTAGTCAGGCTTTCCCACTGTGAAGGTCTCTTTCCCCTTCCCCACTCTGTTTTTTGGAAGCTGATCACAAGGTCTAGGTTGCCCTCAGGTATGGAAAGTACCTATATCACAGGTACACACAAATACTTTATATTTTGAGATATAATCCAATACTGCATTATTTACTTTGTTGCTCAAGTTGGTTCAGCTTCGGCCAGTGGGGGCTCTTTCAGTTGGCTCCTGTGTCCCTTTCTCATGTCTCCCTTTGTTTTTTGAGCACATCCTCACTTTTGGGCACTATAAGAAGCTCCAGGGTCATCTTGTATTTCCCCTGCCCCAGCCCTTAGATCAGCCATTTCTCCAAGGAACCCTGTCTCCTTTTACTGGAGACTCCTATGAGAAATCACAACCATTGTTTCCAGAACCTCACAGAGCTAGATCATATATATGTGTTTATGAACTCTCACATACACATATACTTGAAACTGGTTCTGGATATATCTATCTCTATATGTGTTGCATTAACCCTGAATTCATATGCTGTTTCCCACTCTATTCCAGTGCCACAGGCTTCATTCTAGCCTTCCTCTCTTGTTTTTTTTTTTTAACTCCCTTCCCCAATAATAAGAAACCTGGCTCCCATATCCATTTATTTATTTGACCAATCCCAGTAGCATGTAGAGCAGTTCCAGAATTAACTCCCCATGAGAAACACCGTACTAACCAGAGCAGAGTCCATATACAATGTCCCTTGTCTGAGCCTTACTGTGTCCAGGCAAAACACTGTTTTCCAAAACTCCTTTTCTTTTCATCGCACCCCTTCGATGCACTGTTTTTAGATCACATAACTAAAGTTCCACTCTTACAATAGACGATTCCATAGTTTTGACAAATGCAGAGAGTCATATATCCACCACCACCCCAGCACCATGCAGCAAAGCTTCCTCACTTACAAGGTCCCTATGTGATCCCTTGGAGTCAGTCACTTCCTATTCCCTTAGTAACTACTCATCTGTTTTCTATCCCTATAGTTTGACTTTTCCAAAATGCCATATGAATCAAATCACACAATATGTAGCCCTTTCTCTGGCTTCTTTCACTCAGTGCAATACATTTAGGACTCATCCCTACCATTGCATGAATCACTCATTCCTCTTTATCACTGAATAGTATTCTACAACATGGCTGCACCACAGTTTGTTCACACACTCCCCTGCTGAAGGGCATCTTGATTGCTCTGTTTTTAGCAATTATGAATAAATCTGCAATCAACATTCACGTATAGGTTCTATGTGGATGTAAGTTGTCAGTTTTCTTATATAAATACCTACAGGTGGGATTACTGGGTCACATGATATAAATATATTTTTAAAATTTTATATGAAACTGTCTTCTAAAAGAGTAGTACACTCTGCATTCCCACCAGCAATGAACAAAAATTCCCACTGCTCCACATCCTTGCCGGTATTGGTTACTGCCATTCTAACAAGTATGTAGTAGTATCTCATGGTAGTCTTTTTTTTTTTTTTTTTTAGTTGGAGTCTCATTTTGTCATCCAGGCTGCAGTGCAGTGGCATGCTCAGGGCCACCACAGCCTCGACTTGCTGGGCTCAGGTGATCCTTCTGCTTGAGGTTTCCAAGTAGCTAGAACTACAGGCGTGCACCACCATGCCCAGCTAATTTTTTGATTTATTGTAGCGACGAGGTCTCACCATGTTGCTCAGGTTGGTCTTGAATCCATGGGCTCAGGTAATCCTCTTGCTTCTGCCTCTCAAAGCAGAATTACAGGCATGAGCCACTGTGCCCAGCTTCATGGTAGTCTTACTTTACATTTTCCTAGTGACATATGATACCGAGTATCTATTTATGTGTTTATTGCCATCCATGTTTTAATGTAGTTAGTTGCTTGCTTTCTTATAATTGAGTTTTAACAGTTTCTTCCATACTGTGGATACAAGTCCTTCATCAGATATGTGATTTGCGAATATTTTCTCCTAGTGTGCAGCTTGTCTTCATCCTCTTAACAGGGTCTTTTGCAGAGCAAAAGTTTTAAATTTTGATAAATTCCAGCTTACCAGTTTTTTCTTTCACAGATTGTGCTTTCAGTATTGTATCCACACACTTATGTCAAACCCAAAGTCCCAAAGATTTCCTATATTAGCTTCTAGAATTTTTACAATTTTATACTTTACAATCGGGTCTATGATCTAAAGAGTATTTTTAAGCCCTTCATATAAGCCCATTGACTGTTTAAGGGTAGTCAATTTTTAACAGTTGTGAGACACTGAATGACACCTGCCCCCGGGCACCATCAGTGTCTCTTCAGCTCCTTTGTTCCCCATCCCTGAGATGAGGCTGTATCAACCTCACCTATTTCATGAAACTTCTAAGAAAGGAAGGAGCTTGTGTACTACTCTGTAGTACACAGAATAGTGTTTCTCAAACTGTCTAGGGTGAAGAATCAGTTTTGTTTTTCCCACTTTGTAAAATACGATAAAAATTAACTACTATAACGATGAAATATTTTTAAAAAATACAAACTACAAGCCCACATTTTTCACTGTTAGATTCAAAAGACATTCAAATACTTTGCGCACTTGCTTCACAGTTTCTAAAAGCCTCTGGCTTCTGCCTCTGCACCTCATGCTGGCACAGTGCACAGACATGCTATGGACGGCTCAGCTCTGTGCTCACATGTGCACCCAGCCCCCACCACCTTCCAACCATCACCAGACCGCAAGGCCACACAGGCTAGGAGAAGAATAGAGAGGAGGACCTTGTTTCCTCACTTCCCAGTTTGAATTAACAAGGATGTTCCATCACTCTTGAATTGGAATGAGACTTGGAAAGAGATCCACAGCAGTTCTATCGCCCTGGTGTTTAATTTGATTGCCCAGAAAAGTCTACTATGCCAGAAGATACTAAATGAGAACTTGATAGAGCCCCACCTATCAGAAAGCTCCTTCTCACAGAAAACAGAAGTCAAATCAGCAAACTGAGGAGTGACTCCTCTGCACCAGGCAGTGTAGGAGGCACCAAGGAGGGCAAGATCTCCAGGAACAGAGGTGAGCTTCTGTATTGAAGGGACTGTGTCACACTGCACTCATCATCAACTAAGCAAAACCAGAGAAACAAATTACTATGACACTGAAATAAATACGCCACTCTTACCTCAACAACATCCTCCACGTTGAACTGAACATCAAACGCTAGCTCGATGTCATGCTCCGGCAGTATAGGTGTCCCTGTAGTTGGATTCCACCCCAGACCACAAAGGACTCCAGTATAGTATTTTCCATCCTGATCAATTCTAAATGAAGTGTTTTGAGAAGAATTATTTCAAAATTGTTAAACCACTGTTTCAATATTAAACAATTGACTAATAAAATCATCCTAAATTCTGCCAGTCCCAGTAATGCAACTAATTTCATTTGTGCATTTTCTCTTCCAGCTTTTACACTAAAAATACAGATATCTTATATAGTTATAAGGATTATATAATATATAATATAAGGACAATAAATTAAGCATTTTTAAAACCTGGATGGAACTAGAGTCTATAATACTGAGTGACCTCTCACAGAAACAAAGATCCGAGTATCACATGTTCTCACTCATATAATGGACCTTGAACATCCAATGTAATACTATAAGAAAATGACTGACAGTACTGGGAAACTATGGGGGGGGAAGGGGATGGGATTAACGGTAGCAAATATCTGTCTGGGGACGGGGAAACACCTCTTATCAATAGGGTACCTGAATGAAACATATTTGTATACCTAACCCTTAACTGTACCCCACAACATCATAATAAAAAATATTGATTACAAATTAATTAATTAATTAATTAAGCATTTTTTAAACCCAATATTAAGCTTCCAATTCTCACTGTGGTAAATAATGAAAAGAATATCTTATCACATATGGGATTTTTCCCCCTACCTTTGAATTCTTTCCATAGGTTAAATTATTATTAGGGATATTTCTGAAGAAAAGGTTATACACATATTTAGGACTTGTGAGACAAGTCTAGCACATAGTAAAAGCCTAAAAAGTGTCTGTTCCACCTCCCCTTTCTAATACAATTGTGCATACTTACAATACAAAGTTTTATATCCCAGTTTTACTAAAAACTCACCACTCCCCTCTGACCACCAGTGCATCCTGTCACTGCCACTTCTCAAAGTCTCTCTAAATCTGTTAGTCTTTCTATTACTGCTGCCACCAGCCTAATCCAAGCCACCACCATTTCTTGCCTAGGTGCATGTAATACCTTTCTGATCAATTTTCCCTACCTCTACTCCTGCTTCTTCCAATCTTTCTTCCATACAGCCAGCAGGAGCAGCTTTTCAAAACAAATCCAGTAACGTTACTCCCTTGCATAAGGGCCTTCAGTAGTTCCCCATACATCTGAGTGATGCCAGGGCCTAAAACCAAGTGTGATCCAATTCTGCTAGCACTGCTGCACCATCTCAGGCTCTCCTTGCCTGCCAGGACCCAGCTTCCCTGGCTCCCCTAGGCGTCCCTCCAGTCTCTACTTTGGGGGCCCTTCCCTGCCACCACCACCTCCCCTCTCCCCCCCACAAGGCCCCAGAGCCCTCTGCCCACCAGCGCTCACTTTCCAGGTATTATTATGAGCAGTGCCTTAACCCAAATAAGTTCAAGGAATTATACAAAGAATGAACAGACATTACTATGATATGTCTTTTAAAATATTCTGCCAGCGTTGTTCACAATAGCAAGAACCTGGAAACAACCATGCTGCCCATCAAAAGAGGACTGGATTAAAAAAATGTGGTACATATACACGATGGAATACTATACAGCCATAAAAAAGAACAAAATCATGAATTTCGCAGCAACCTGGATGGAACTAGAGTCTATAATACTGAGTGACCCCTCACAGAAACAAAGATCTGAGTATCACATGTTCTCACTCATATAATGGACCTTGAACATCCAATGTAATACTATAAGAAAATGACTTACAGTACTGGGAAACTATGGGGGGGAGGGGGATGGGATTAACAGTAGCAAATATCTGTCTGGGGATGGGAAAACACCTCTTATCAACAGGGTGCCTGAATGAAACGTAATTGTACACCTAACCCTTAACTGTACCCCACAAAAACCATAATAAAAAATATTGATTAATAAAAAAATAAAATAAAATAAAATATTCTGCTAATTTTGACATGTTAATCAACTCAGAATTTTCCCCATCATCTGAATTAGTTTTTTTCCAGCTGGGGTGTAACTGATAAAAGTTATCCACATTTACAGTACACAGGTTCTGATATATATGTACACTATGAAATGATTACCACAAAAAAGTTGATTAACACACCCATCTCCTTATAGAGTTACCATTTCGTGTGTGTGATGAGAAGATCTACTCCTTTAGCAAATTTCAAGTACACAGTATAGAACTATTAACTACAGTCACCAAGCTGTATATTAGATCCCAGAATTTCATTTTATAACTGAAAATTTGTACAACAATTAAGTTTTGATGACAAAATCTAGGTAAAATCGTTTTCTTAGTCCTAAACACACATATATGTGTGTATACACACACACACACACACACACACACACACACACACACACACACACACACACACACCAGGTTGCCAAAAAAATGTATACACGTTTTAAGAGATGTTATATATATATTACTTTTCAAAGTTGAATTTAATTATGGTAGCAATGTGTAATATGCAGAAGTCAAATGTGACTTGTATTCATCTTTTGTTATCGGTATATATTATTACAAAATACAGGTTTTTCCTTTCTTAAAATGTGTATACATTTTTTTGGCACCCTCTGGGTATCTGTGTGTGTATGTGTGAGTATACACATACACACACACACATTATCTCTCCTTTTATCTTTCAGTTCAATGAAAAAGAATTCTACTTTAAGCTCAAAGAAGAGATCTGGAATTCAGACTTATAAATTAGGTGTTGAGTATTTGCTTTATAAAGTAGTCATACAAATGTTTCTTTAAATAGAATGTTCTGCCCACTAAAAAGCGGGCAAAAAATATGAACTCAAAAAAAGACATACAAGCAGCCAACAGATACATTAAAAAATGCTCAGACTTACTAATCATCAAAGAAATGCAAATCAAAACTGCACTGAGATACCTCCTAACTCCAGTCAGGATGGCCATCATTAATTACTGAAAAAACAAGAGATGCTGGAGAGGATGCGGAGAAAAGGGAACACTTCTACACTGTTGGTAGGAGTGTAAATAAGTACAACCTCTGTGGAAACCAGCGTGGCAATTTCTAAAAGATCTAAAAATCTACCTTCCATATGACTCACCAATCCCCCTTCTGGGAATATACACAGAAGAACTCAATCATTTTACAAAAAAGATACCTGCACATGCATGTTCATTGCAGCACTAGTCACAATAGCAAAAATATGGAACCAACTATGCTGCCCATCAAAAGTAGACTGGATTTAAAAAGTGGTATATATACATGACAGAATATACATATTACACAGCCATAAAGAAGGACACACTTAGGGATTTTGCAGCAACTTGGATGGATTTAGAGTATATAGTGATCTAACACAGAAACAGAGAACTGAGTACCACATGTTCTCACTCATAAGTGAACCCTAAAAATTTACCATAATACTACAAAAAAAGGGATTGGCAGTAGTGGGGGGCGAGGGGGGACATAACCTCAGTACCTGATCCTAAATCAGGTGACATGAGGTCCAATGGGAGGCCCAAACTTCACCTGTATGTTGACCACTTATGTACCTAATCCTGAATTATACACCACATCTTTAAAATAACATAAAATAAAATTGTACTCCACATCTTTAAAATAAAATTTAAAAATAGCATGCTCCTTTCAAAGTAACCAAGGGTTATTTCATCGATTTTAATAGAAATCACAGTACCTCAGCCTTACTGACAGTTACTATGAGCCTTAAACTGACTGCTTTCATGTAATAACATCTGTACTTCAACAAAGATAGTTTAAAAGATTTAGCCTTGAACTAACTCATACTAGGGTGGTTAATTCTTTGTGTATCTGCTCTAACTCCTAAGTGAATAAATGTAACCTAAGCACTGGGTTTAATTATCTTCTCGGAATCCTAAGTATTCATGTTAACTTAAGAAATACCAAGTAAGACCCTAGAAATAAGTCTAATTTAATTAAGATGTATATTTTAGACTAAAACTGAAAAGGGCAAGAATCATGACAGGAACAATATCAGCACATTCCATACAGAGTACAGTCAGGGCACGTTGTAGACATAATTCATCCTGAAATAACTGACATCAAGGAGTTGGAGTTTATATGAGCTGACGGTGGCTATGTTTGGAAGGGCTGACATCTTCGGACAATTATGTTTAAAACAAATAGAAGAGGAACTTCTATCGTAAGCTAGTATCCTAAGACTTCCTATATGAGCCAAATAAGGAAATATATTCCTCAACAGGAGACAGGTCCCATGCAGGTGGGGGATAGAAAGGTGGGTCACAAGTGGAAAGAAAGGGGCGTGGGTACATAGTGTGGCTGCAGCTCTCAGGAGGTAGGCTCATGAGGACAGCCCCTCTCTGAGAGCACAACTAAGACACAGTGACAGGTCCCCCAGGCCAGTTCTGTACTGGAGAGCCCATCCTGCACACCGCAGGACACTGAACTTCTGGAGCGAAAGGAAAGGAAAATGCTCACCCCCAAGTCAAATCTTTCTCTCATCTTCTGAAGTTTCTCAAAAATGGTTGCTACTGACAACAAATTTAAAAATCCATACAACTTTAATTAGAGGCAGAGTTTGGATGAAAATCTACCAGGCCCCCCTCTTCCCTTTCTGATAATCACCTTGTTAAGCCTATGGATTCAAAGACACACTGACATATAAACTGACCCGATTCTGGCTGATTTAAGTTAAATTCACAAAATGAAAACAAACCTTCATTTATGTGCAAAGCACTGTGGACTGTTTATACAGAACCTTCTATTAATCTTGTTTTTGCTTTTTTAGAAAGATGATGTTTTAAATACCAATTAATTATTTCAGTATTCTTGAATGTTTATAACCTAACTACTTATACTCTGGAGATTTAAAAATAACATACTGCATTACTGAAGTCCCAAAAAGCTTATATTTAAAAGAAAAGAGTTGAAGCAGAGCCTGGTCTAGTTAAAAAGGCAAGAAAGGTACCAGAAGCAATTATAGAGGAATTTATCTATTTATTTAATAATTAATTAGGTCATATCCCTAACTTGTGTAAAGTGTGATACTTTCTTATGAGATAATCCCACTGTCGCATATTATTTTTACATGCAGGTTTCCCCTACAAGGAGGGCTCTTTATTTACTTATTTTTTATTTAGAGACAGAGTCTCATTCTGTCACCCAGGCTAGAGTGCAGCAACACAATCATAGCTCACTGTAGTCTCAAATTCCTAAACTCAAGTGATTCCCCCGCTTCCAGTCTCCTGAGTAGCTAAGACTACAGATGCGTGCAACCACTCCTGGCTAATTGCTCTCACTATTTTGTTCAGCCTAGCAAGGCCTTTAAAATACCTTAATTCACAGAGATATTTATCACATCATTGTGGCAAAATTAGAGAAAAGCCAAATTCTAACAATCAAAGACATATTAAATTCTTTTAGAGCAACAGCAGGTATGAAATGAATATACACATGTAAATATAACAGAGCCATTTTTTAATGTTTTTGGAGTTGAGGTCTCACTCTGTTGCCCAGGCTGAAGTGCAGTGGCACAATTACAGCTCACCACAGCCTCAACCTGCTGGGCTCAGGCAATCTTTCTGCCTCAACCTTCCAAGTAGCACCACCATGCCTCAGCTCATTGTAAATTTTTTTTGTAGAGACAGGGTCTTGCAATGTTGCCTAGGCTGCTCTCAAGGCTCAAGCAATCCTCACAACTTGGCTTCCCAAAGTGTTGGGATTATAGGTGTGAGCCATAGCACCCAGTCAGGGCAATGTTTACATCAGTCATTGTATGCCCATTCAGTGACATATGATGCAATTACCAAAATGTATATTTATACAGATATCATAAAAATATGAAAAAGCTTATGACATTGTGAAAAAGGATATAGTATGACAAGAATCCAAAATCCAAATAAAATGTATATATAATTAAACAGTAAGTATACTAAATATATTTAAATTTAAGTAAAAATAAGATTTAAAATGATTGTGTTCGTTTTTTTCCCATTCCCTTTTCCTAGGCAGCATATATTTTAATGGGAAAACTATCTTTACAACTGAACAAAAACACTGAACATTTTGAAACTGTGATATTAGATCTGAACAGGCATCCTGGCAGAGAGGACAGAGTCAACAGCAGAGTCCTTTCTCCTACCTTGTCCGACCTCAGTCCACTAGATCTATCCTCCATAACAATCCACTGACTAGAGAGAAGGGTAGCCTTCTACACCCCACACTTATACCAGGCCTCTACTTCAGCCTCGTCAGGCCATCTCCAACCTGCCCAGCAGAATGAGGACTCCTAGAGCCAAATCTTACTCTTTTCCTGGCCTCTCCTAACTCCTTCCCATTCTACTAAAGCCTAAGTTCACCCACAGAGAGTGCTCTGTAAACACCTAGTATTCAAACAAAACCTTCCAAAGCGGCTACCCCTGCTGTTGGGATGTTTTCAAGAGCTCTGCTCACATTATCACACAGCGTTTCTTTATTATAAAGTCTCAGGAGATATCCCTTTTTTATCTTGGCACTAAACGAGATACAATCTGTTGGGCAATCTGTCTTCTGGCCTCACAGTTTCCACAGTAAGAGGGACTGATAAGGGCTTCTGTTTACAACTGGTCATCAGAAAATCTGGAATCACATTCATAGCCCATTCACATAAGGACGTCCATCACCAGGACATTTATTCTGAGCCTCATTCCTAGTTCCATTTTTTATTTCTTTTGTCCCACTCTTACCTCAAGCTCTGATGTGAGAGTGTGTGTACCTTTATGCGCTTTCTGAGCGTCTTTCTGAAATAAGTCCCAACATAAATGCATCAATAACAAAGGCTTAGTCACAAGCAGCCAGGCATGCCATGGCCAAAATTTTTGCAAAGGCTTTCTCTCCAAAAGGAGTGAGGAGAGGCACCGCTTTCCCTACCCAGGATCTAATTTTACAAAAGCTTGCAGATGAAATGGATGGTCATCCCTTACCTTAACTCCATTACTGGTGCGAACAGCATGCTGAGGAGAACCGGGAGCCCAGGGATGTGAGGCATCAGAGAGGTTTCTCTCAGTAGCATGGTGGACCCTGTCAGACAGTCAACAAGTCAGCCACAGGCACGACACTATACTCTTCAGGATGTCACTCCCTCCTGGCACACTCGTGTTCATCTTCAGGCATCCCCTCTTCTGCTGAGTCTGGCCTGTCCCCACAGGCCCACCCGGTAGTAAAGTGATCCCTGTTCTCTGTGCCCACAGCACCCTCCACACAGCCACTTCCCTATAATGCTGAAACTTTTATCACACTTGGGATTAACTCTATTGTTTGGCTATTCTTTTCATCTCTTTCTCCTCATTAGGCTATTGGGTTTTCCTGGGGCCAAGAACTTGGGTTTATTCTCCTTTGTAGCTAAGTACAGTAGAATGAATGACTGATCAAGGTGTCAATCCCTACATCCTTGTATTACAAGGAAAAATGATCATGCTCCATTTCTTAAACCTGCATCAGTCAAAGCCTTCAGAAAACAGCCAAGAGTAGAGCATGCAAGCATCAACCTGTTTTCCATTATGGGATAAATTGTTCTAGTAACTGAAGTCAAGGAAGAGAAGAAAAGAGAGGACAAGGAGTCAACAGAAGCCCCTAAGTTACCAGTCGCATTGATTGACAGGGAAGCTGCAACCAGCATTCTCTGGTGAAGATCTTCAGGAGCATCACTGATAATGACAGAGTTGATACTCTCCTTCTCGATCCAAACACTTCTAAAGGGAAGGAGGAGCAGGAGACAGGATTATTGAGCTACCAACCAGGCCACGTATTATGCCCATCCACAATCAATACCTTTCAGAAATACAGTTAAACATACAACTGCCATGACAGATGGCTGAGACATACTTAGTTTCCCATTTTCCCGCATGCCTCCTTCTCTGGACCATCTCCTCAAGCTAGAGGCCTCGAACTGGCCCTTGCTCTCTTCTCCACTCCCTCCTGTATGATCCCAACCCCTCCTGGACTTAGGTACCACCCACATGCTGAGGGGGTCCAAAACCTCTGCCTCTCCCTGAAACCCTCTGTCCTGCACTCCTAACCAATAATGGCCATCACCTGCATCCCAGCAGAGAAAATAGTGTGTGTCCACTCCCACTCCTCCTCTGTCACCTCTCAGCAGAGCCTGCAGCAACCCCAGCAAGGGTATCCTTAATTCTTTTTCTTTCCTCATCACTGACTCTAATCCAGCACAAACCTGCTGCTTCCAATCTTGAAAGTGCTCATAAAGCCATCAGTTTCTATATCTCTGGCCCAGACTCAGTCCACAATCTTCCCACCCTGGATTTCACCAGTGACCAGCCTCTAATGGATGCTCCTGCCTGAGGTCCCTTCTAATCTGAAACCCAACGCACTCTTCACACCGGGACTCAAGTTTTAGTATGCATGCACATCACCTGGAGGTCTTGTAAAAATGCAGCCTCTAGTTCAAAAAGTCTAAGGAAGGGGTAAGGCCTGAGCAACTGCACTTCTAACAAGCTCCTAAGGGATGCCCACATTGCTGGTCCCTGGTTGATATTTTGAGAACACAATGCTTAGCCAAAGTGATCATTTAAGAATGCACATAGTAAGGGTTCCCAACTGTTTCACGATGAAATCTGTAAAGCTTGCCCCTGTCTTCCATAAGCTCTGCAGCCCTCTTCTACCCACCCAATTCTCCAATCATACCAAACTTACTCAAAATCCTCAGAAGCACAAATTCCCACATTTAGGTCTATGCATTTGCCGCAGGCACCATCCTCATCCCACATCTCCCCACAATCCCCTAATAACTGCACTCTGACGAACTCCTCTGCATCCTTCAGGTCTCAGAATTCTCTGGAAAATTCCCATGGTCTTCCAAGTGTGTTTGTGCCCCTCTATATGCTGTCATGATGTTCTGTGTCCTGCTAAGACCCTGTACCCTATGTTGTAAAGACCAGTTTTCTCCTCCAAGTCACCCCCCACCCACCCCCACAACTGAACCCATAATTTCCTTAAAGACAGCAACTGTATCTTGTTCACTAATGCACTACAGTTTCACCCAAACCACACACAGTTTTTGGCATAGAGTAGGCACTCACAGTTTTGCTGAATAACCACTGCAAAACAGGAAAAAATAAAGTATCTGATAAAAGACACTAAAAAAAGTCTTACATAAAATGGCTTGCATGTAAGAGAGAAATACATCAAATCTGGAGCTAGGAGAGACTTTAGGAGTTAGAAAAGATAACACATTCCAACAGTTGCGATATAAAGATGGATTACTTTTTGATGAGGTCTATAGAGAGGCAGGAAAAAAATTTTCATGGAAAACTTATGTTAATCATACCTGAATTTGGATATTCTGGTCAAACTATGACACTTTAGTTCATAAGGGTTAAAAGGCCCATGGAGCAGTGCCTATATGCACAAAAGACAGGGAGTGTTACCAATAAGCAAGGTATCACCTAATATGAATTTTTAAAATCCAAGTCAGCTTATACTTATTTTAAAAGCTGCATCTCATTCATAACATCTTTGCAATTCTGTTAGGAAAAGTTGCCCTAAAGAAGGTATTTTTCAGGAACAAAACTGATTCCCTTCCATGATTTCACTTGTGTGTGTGTGTGTGTGTGTGTGTGTGTGTGTGTATGTATATTTATATATGTAAATTTATATTTTTATACGTAAATGTATTATATTTCTTAAATACGTATCTATTTAAGAAAGATTTTGGTCAAAAAAGGAAACACTGTCAAATACCAGGGGTACCAAAAAATGTATGCACATTTTAAGAGATGTTATCTAAGTATTACTTTTAGTTTGAAATAATCAGAAGTGTCTAGATGCTGATGGTAACTACTTTGAGCACCTCTTGCAACTGAAGAATCAAAGTGACTTGTATTCATCTTTTGTTATCACTATGTATTGAGTATTACAATTTTAATCTCACTCTTGTCACCCAGGCTGAAGTGCAGCAGCACGCTCACAACCGCCACAGCCTCAACCTGCTGGGTTTAGGCAATCCTTCCACCTCAGCCTTCCAAGTAGCTGGAACTATAGACAAATGCCATCACGCCCAGCTAGTTTTTGTGATTTACTGGAGACATGAAGTCTCATCAAGTTGCCCAGGCTGGTCTTGAACCCCTAGACTCAGGAGATCCTCTTGCCTTGGCCTCCCAAAGTGCTGGGATTACAGGCTGAGCCACAGCACCTGGCCAGTTTTCTCCTTTCTTAAAATGTGCATACTTTTTTTTGGGGGGGGGGCACCCTCTGTATTTTAGTAACAGTGATATTCTTTCAATTGCAGCAGACCAATCTACTTGAATAGTTTGGCCTGAGACTGCACAGCTGAAGTGGAGTCCCTGAACAGGGAATGACAGCTTAGCCAACCCTCCTCTCCAAGCAGGTAGGCAGCACCAATTCCAGTGGCCAGTTGAGAAAACCAAGGCTGGCACCAGTTCTCAAAAACACGCATGCTGTTTTCCTTCAGTCTGGTAGACAAGCACACATTACCTTTGAAAAGGAAAGTTAAAATATAGTATATATATATATTAGTCAAAGCTTGCTTCTAAATTCCATGAAACACTAAGCCCCAGGGCTTTTTCTTATTAATATGGGAACTATTGTTAGAAAAGTAACAGCATCAAAAACCAGAAAAGGAAAAATCATCATGACTGCTGGCTACAAGTCATAGGAAAATGATACGAAGTTTTTAAATTATATTTTTAAACAACTCCTACACATTACCTTAGAGTTTGGAGAGCCCAGTTTATTGGAAGAAAAGCTCTCTAACAAAATCTGGATCAGATACTTCTCATCATCTTTCACGGGAAATGGCACTGACCCATCTGTCATGTTTTCCACTGATTTGGAAAAGAGACCCTTGAGAGCTTCATGGCTTTGCTGAACAAAACAAGACAAGTTTTAGTTACAAAAAATTATACTAAAAGCCCTTTATTCCAATCTAATCAAAATACTTCACAGGCATAATTTATCAAATTCATTTTAAAATTCAAACAAAAGAAATAAGACAGGATTTACTACCTTGTTTCTTCAAACAAAAGAAATTAGACAGCCTTCACTATATTTCAGCCATCAGAGAATTTAAGAGAAAGAAACATTTTTTAAACAACTTTTTTATACATAAAATTTTTGTTTTATGCTGGGAATATTAACATAATTCTCAAGTGTCTTGTATACATATTAAACCTTTGCACTCAGATGTCTCCCCTCTGAGGGGACATTGTAAATCTAGCAAACCACTTGGATGTCCCCTCTCAGAACAAACTTAAGCCAGCGCAAATTTTTCAAAAATGTATGTTTCCTTGAAGTTTTCCATTCAAATTTCATGAAAAAGCAAATAAAGATACAGAATATTTACTGAGATATGATCGATCAGCTGAAAAGTGTTTTTCAGGAATCACAAGTGCGTCCTTTCACATCTTCTTCAAACAACAGACTGGACAATAAATTACACAGTATTAATGTGGGAGGAAGAAAATGAGACTGCATTGTCTGCCTGAATAGAAAAGCACCAGGTGGAAGATGTCAAACAAATTACTACTATACAACATGTAGCAATGAATCTCCAATGCCTGTCGGTGACCGTTTCACATGTTGCCATACATCAGAAAGATGTAAGAAATAAAATTTTGATTTTTGTCATAAATAAGTTCCTCAATGTCCAAAATTCCATGATAAGCCAAATATCATTATGATAAAATAATTGGTTCCAATGCTATACTATTTAATATGAAGTGATTCATTTTTCACTATTTTATAAAAAGTGTGGTCAAGTTGCTGGTAGGTGATCTGCGAGATGTCTCTGAGTACAAAGGATTAAATACAGAATTTCACCAGACCTTTGGCTAACATTTTGCCATTGCTTGTCCTCTTCCTGACTCCCAGCATACTTTATCCCCAGAAAACAACACAGAAGTGAAAGAAAAGACCTTACACATCAGCTTCAAAAGCAATATTTCTGATCATCAATAGATGCAGAAAAAGCATTTGATAAAATTTAACATCCCTTCATGATAAAAACTCTCAACAAATCAGGCATAGAAGAAACATACCTCAATATAATAAAGGCCATATATGACAAACCACAGCTAACATCATACTAAATGGGGAAAAGCTAAAAGCCTTTCCTCTAAAAACAGGAACAAGACAAGGATATCCACTTTTACCACTCTTATTCAGCATAGTATTGGAAGTCCTAGCCAGAGTAATCAGGCAAGAAAAAAGAATAGAAATAATCCAAAACCAAAAAAGAAGAAATCAAACTGTCCCTCTTTGCAGATGACATGATCTTACATATAGAAAAACCTAAAGACTTCACCAAAAAACTCCTAGAACTAATAAACAAATTCAGACAAGTTGCAGGATACAAAATTAGCATATAAAAATTAGTGGCACTTCTATATGCAAAAACAAACAAGCTAAAAAAAAAAGAAGTCAAAAAAGCAATCCCTCTTATACTACTTACAAAAAAATCAAAACAAAAAAACAAAACAAACAAGCAAAAAAACCTAGACATAAATTTAACCAAGGAGGTGAACTATCTCTACAATGAAAACTACACAAAATACTGATGAAAGCAACTGAAGGCCAGGCACACTGGTACACGCCTATATAATACCAGCACTTTGGGAAGCCAAGGTGGGAGGATCACTTGAGTCCAGGAGTTCGAGACCAGCCTGGGCAACATAGTGAGACCTTGTCTTTACAAAAAGTACAAAAATTAACTGAGTATGGTGGTGCTTGCCTGTGGTCCCAGCTACTTGGGAGGCTGAGGCAGAAGGATCACCTGCACTCAGTAGGTCAAGGTTGCAGCGAGCTGTGATTGTGTCACCGTATTCTAGCCTGAGTGACAGAGTGAGACGCTCATGCAAAAAAAAAAAAAAAAAGTAACTGAAGAAGACCAAACAAAGGGAAAGTCAAGATATGTTCATCAATTGGAAGAATTTATATTGCTAAAATCATCTACCCAAAGCAATCTACAGATTCAATGCAATTCTGATCAAAATACCAATGACATTCTTCACAAAAATAGAAAAAAAATCCTAAAATTCATAAGGAACCATAAAAGACCCCAGATAGCCAAAGCAATCCTGAGCAAAAAGAACACAGCTGGATGCATCACACTACCTGACTTTAAAATCCTACGAAGCTATAGCAACCAAGACAAAATGATATTGGTATAAAAACGGACATATAGACCAATAAAAGAGAATAGAGAACTCAGAAATAAAACCACATATTTATGGTCAACTGATTTTCGACAAAAGTGCCAAGAACATTCACTGGATATCCATAGGCAGAAGAATGAAACTGGACCACTATCTCTCACCATATACAAAAATTAATTCAATATGGATTAAAAACTAAAAAATGAGAAAAACCATAAAAACTACTAGAAGAATGCATAGGGAAAACACTTCAGGGTCTGGGCAAATATTTTATGGCTAAGAGTTCAAAAGCACAAGCAACAAAAACAAAAATAGACAAAGGGGAATATATTAAAGAGTTGGACTGAAAAAAAAAATCAACAACCTGTACAAGGAGAGAAAATACTTGTGAACTACTCATCTGACAAAGAACTAATATCCAGAATATACAAGGAACTAAAACAACAACAAAAAAGCAAATAATCACATTTAAAGGTGAGCAAAGGATCTGAGTAGACATTTTTCAAAAGAAGACATACAAAAAGCCAAAAAATAAATGAACAATGCTCAGCATCACTAATCATCAGAGAAACACAAATCAAAACCACAATGAGATATCACCTCATACATATTAGAATGGCTATTATCAAAAAGACAAAAAAATAACATATGCTAGCAAGGATGCAGAGAATTTATATTCCCACACTGTTGGTGGGAATGTAAATTAGTACAGCCTTTATGAAAAACAGTATGGAGGCTTCTCAAAAAACTAAAAATAGAACTACCATATAATCCAGCACTCCCACTACTGAGTATTTATCCAAAAGAATATAAATCACTATATCAAAGGCATACCTGCACCCCCATGTTTATTGTGGTGCTATTCATAATAACTGATATGAAACTACCCTAAATGTCCATCAATAGACAAATGGATAAAGAAAGTGTGGTATATTTACACAATGAAATACTATTCAGCCATAAAAAAAGAGTAAAATCCTGTTATTCTTGGCAACATGGATGAAATAAACTAAGCAAAATTAGGCACAGAAAGATGAATACCATATGTTCTACTCATACGTGTGAGCTGAAAATAATTAAATTTATGGAGGTAGAGAAAATTAATTGTGGGTATTAGAGGCTGGAATGAGCAGCGGTAGAAGAGGATAGGAAGAGCTTGGTTAAAAAACACAAAAGAACAGTCAGATAGAAGGAACAAGTTGAAGGGTTCTACAGCACTGCAGAGTGAATACAGTTAACTATAGCTTAACATACATTTTCAATAAGCTAGAAGAGAAGATTTTGAACATTTACAACACAAAGAAACAACAAACATTTGAGGTGGTGAATTTGCTAATTACCTTAATTTGATCATTAGAACATATCAAAATACCACTCTGTATCCTATGAATACATACAATTATTAGACGTAAACAAAAAACAAAAAGAAAAAAGCAGCTTCTCTGAAACCTTCAGACCAAGAGAATGACTTTAGAACTGATTTTGAAAGAAATTTTGAAATATCTGAAATAAAAATTGTATTAATTACTTCTAATTAGTAAATCCTGGAGATAAATCCTGGAATCCATTTAAAACTTCCAAAATAGAATATTTTCAAATCTAACTTTAATTCTAAGAAGAAAAAAATAGCTAAATAGGGAACCAACAAAAATAATACTCAGCCACTATAATTTAATCCCAGAGAAATCTAGAAGGCATTAAGACATTTAAAATGTCACCACAGACTTTATACAAGTACAGTATACCAAATGATGAACAGAAACTCGATCCATCTATTCATCAATATCCTTAGAAAAAATGCCCCCTCCATTCTCTCATTCATTCACACACACACATACACACGCATGCATGCACACATGCTCCAACATCAAGGACTAAAGCACGTACTTTGGACTCATAGGACTCCTCCGTGAGCTCAGCGTAGCCCTCCTGGATGAGGACATCTCTTATGTTGATGGCATCCTGGACTCTCAAGTACCGGTACACATCCACATGCAGGACATTGTGCACAACAGAGAAAACCTTCACGAGGAGAGGGCAGCCGCTCACCAGGGAGGCAAACCACCGGCTGGCCCCACCACTCCAGTGCTCACCACAAACAAGAGACTTTGCCGATGGTCTCATTTTGCAAATCTTAAATTCCAAAGCCTACAGGACAGAAAGGCATGGCTGGAACAGTTTTACAAATGAATGAAACACTCATTCCAAATATCACTGAAAAGTGACTTTGTTCATATATCTTCAATGGCGTTCTCATAAAATTCCTACTAAAAGTAATTTTGGGATAGTAAGGATTTCCTAGTTAAGAAAACTTAGTTACAACAACAAAACAAAATAACAACAACAAAACAAAAGTTCAGAATAACATTTAGGCTGTTTTCATACTGGTGTAAAGGGTATGTGTGGATTTGTCTCCAGCCCACCTAAACACTATATGGTTTCAACATAACCAGAAACCTTAGAAACAGTATTAGAAAACACTAGTCAGATCAAACAACAACTTTTTTGCTAAGTTTAAAGTCTTTCATATATTTTTGAAAGCGTAAACACCAAATTTGGCACGAGTGACAAAACAAGTTCCTTCCCTGTCCTGGGCCTTAGCTCCTCTATCTGTAAGCTGAAGAAGAGGGTCCACATGACCTTCAGAATCCTTTCTAGCATTCAAAATTCATTCCATGGAATTATCTCTATCTTACCTGAAATGGAAGTTCAAGAAATTGAGAAGGAATCTCCATTAAAAGATTGAGATCTACATGAGACCTATTACCATAATCTACAAAGAATACCTAGAAAACAAAAAAGTATACACTTTAATACAGGGTCAAAAACAATGTTCTACTTGAGCACCAGCAATGCAATGATCTGCTTGAGTTCTCAGAGTGACCTGAGCTCACATCAACATATCAATGAAGGAAATAACTTAGACTACTTTTCCAACTATAATTATTTTACATTTAATTTTTGCCTATAACAACAAAAGATGTTCGATAAACTGCTATAAGTCTGTCTCATTTCCCTTTGGATAACTTGTTACAGAAAAACATACCTCAGCAACATTTCCAGAAACATAAAGGATCTGAGCTCTAAAGTAGCTTTCTTTATCAAAATCAGCAAAAGGTGCCAGACAGACCAAGTCTGGATGTGGGTGAATGGGCAAGGGTACCAATTTCCGTTGGTTTATTTCAGCAGTAAGCTTTTTCAGAATCTCAGAGTTTTTTTCATCAATCCTATATCCCCAAAAGTGTCCCACTTCAACTACCTAAAAAGAAGGAAGAGATGAGATCTAGAGAGATTTCTGTAAGAAGGAATATAAGCTTAAATCCCAGGGCTGTCATCCTGTACTGTACAGCATCTCATAAACTGAATTTCTTGAAACATAAGTCTCCTATGAGTTTTTAATAGGTGCTTATGAGAACAAAAGAGGGATGCCCTGGTCAACTAAGGTAAGGAAATGTGTGGACTATATCCTTTACTTGGAGTTACAAAATTCATTAGCATATAAAAGTACTAAAGGTTCTGAGAGGTCATAAAGAATCACTTCATCTTTGACCCCAGGATGAAAAGCCAATAGCACAGGGCCTGCAGGTGCTCTCCCTGGTGAGGACCCCAGCACAGAGTGAACACAGCATACCGGATGAGCAGTGCCAAGTGGGAGTGATGGAAGAGAAGATGTTCCATTTAAAAGGACACCACCAAACAGCTCCTGCCCACTGCTGCCATGAAGGCCCACAATCACCATAGTTTTTCAATCTGCCTGGAACCCAGATTTCTAAATGAAATTTCCCAGTGAGGTGTACTTACAGATTTACCAGAAGCATACAAGTATTTTAATTGAAATTTTATTTTAAAAACGGGTCAGGTGCAGTAGCGCATGCCTGTAATCACAGTACTTTGGGAGGCTGAGGCAGGAGGATCACTTAAGCCCAGAAATTTGAGACCAGACTGGCAACATAGTAAGACCTCATCTCTACAAAAAAAAAAAAAAAGAAAAGAAAAAAAATTATCCAGGCATGATGGCACACACCTATAGTCCCAGCTACTCAGGAGGATGAGGTAGGAGAAATGCCTGAGCCCAGGAGACTGATAACATAGTGAGTCATATTCATGCCACTGCACTCCAGTCTGGGCAACAGAGTGAGACCTCTACTCAAAAAAAAAAAAAAAGAAAAAAAAAACATGCCCACATAATAATGGTGTCAATGCTAGTTTTGTTGATACAAACTGAAATATACCGGCATATATCATTATGCCAATTAATATTTTTAACATATATCATGCTAAATCTGATTATTTTAGCACTTTAAAAGTACCTGACAGTTTAAAAACTTTGATTCTAGAATACATATTTGTTTCATTGTCCATTTTAGTCACATTTTAATTTAACAAGTACAGTAATTCAAGCTCACCCACATTACTGATTATGCATGTGTATATAAACTTATTTCATGTATACAACATGACAGCTTTAGATTAACAATAATGCCATTCTTACCTCTGTGACATCAATAGTGAGAAGGAGGTCTGTAACTGCCTGGGATCTGTTTAATGTGTTAAATGAGACCTGCATAGGATCCACTGTCTGCTTCTGGAAGTCCACATTCACCCTACAGAACATGAAGTTTTTAAAAAAGACAATAATAATGAAGGGTTACAAAGAAAGTATGTTTACTTCTATAAAGTTATCATTTGAACCATTCTAATATTTCCACAAGTAAAGAACATTTTAATAAAATATACCAGAGATGACAGATTTGATTTCATCTCAAACATGAATTTACAGTGGCTTCCTGAGCTGCCTTGGTGGGGTATTCACTTAATGGTTATATGCCACCCACCAGGGACACATTCTGAAGGCTAAGACCCTCAAGGAATATCCACTTTCAAGGGTATAAATGATAAATTCAGGACGTGCAATATTTCCTAACTTGTGATTTCAGCAGTGAGTGGTTTTGACCATTAGAAAACTACAAGAATCTCACTCATAAGCAGACCCTGAACAATTATCATAATTCTGTAAGAAAGGGATTGGGCAACCCCTTCGGGTCCCCTCCCACTGTGGGAGCTTTTCTGTCCTCTCAATTAATCCTGCTTTTAAAAAAGAAAGAAAGAAAGGTATTGGCAGTAGTGGAAAACTTCCAGGGGAAGGGAGGGGGCACACCTCATCAATAAGGGAATCTGATCTCAAACCAGGTAAAGTGGGGACCAAAGTGAGGCCCAAACTTTACCTATACAATGACAATTTGTATACCTAGCCCTGATTGTACCCCACAACTTTAAAATAAAAGAAATAAGAGAAAAAGAAAACTACAAGAATCCATGTTTGGCTCAATACTATGTTAGAAAACACACAGGTGACTATCTAATACAACCAAGAAGTATCATTCATCCTTTAATGCCATAAAAGAGTAAATGCTAAGGTTCAGAATACAAAAGACAAATCTGATAAAAATAAAAATTTCCTTTTCCAATACTTTTATTCCAAAGTGAAAGGAACGAATAAGAAAGACTGATCCAACTCTTTTCAGTCTTCAGACCCATATATTAATGAGTGACTCCAGCAAAGTTCTCCAGCACTCAGTCACAAATGTAAATCAAGTCTGACTTTAACAAAGCAGGGCAGGTCTTCTCTATGCAAAGGATTGGGCAACTTGGCGAGACCTCATCTCTACAACGAATCAAAATGAGCTGGGCATGGTAGCGCACGCCTGTAGTTCCAGCTACTTGGAAGGTTGAGGCAGAAGGGTCACTGGAGTCCAGCAGATTGAGGCTGCAGTGGCCGGGAGTGGCCACTGCACTCCAGTCTGGGTGACAGAGTGAGACTCCAACTCAAAAAAACAAAACAAAACAAAAACAAAAGCAAAGGACTGAATCCACTACACTCCCAGACTCCCTTTCAGAAGCCAAAACATCACCCACAGATGAAACTAGCTGAGCATATTTCCGTTCCTTCACTAATTCCTCAGATTCATGACAAGTTCCTCCTGTCCCTCAAAAGACTACATGTAAGAAATAATACATGAGACTTCCTACTATATGTGACTGTGGGGATATGGCCAAAAAGGCAAAGCAATCTGTCATAAATACCATGGGTGATTTAATTTGGTCCAAGAGAATATCCATGACCCAGAAGGCAGCTGCCAAGTGGCAAGTGCCCCTGCTCTGGGCTGACCAACTCCGTGTGGGAAGCCCTAGCCTTGCATCGCCCAACCAGGGTAGAAGAAAGATACATGGGGCCAGTGAGGACAGCTTGCACTGGCAAGCAATGAGGCGCTCCCAACTGCATCTCCATTTTGTCCCACTGTCTGCTCTGCAGAGAACAAAGAATATCCCTAATTGCTGAGAGAGTTCTCAAAAGGAAATGCATTACTGTAGGAGAAAGAAAGGAAATTAACATTAGATTTAACCCTTACTATTTCAATTAAAAGTTACATAAATGATTTCACTCAATCCCCTCCACAGCCTTGCACAATAGGTATCACAGCTACTAAACAAATAAAGAAAAGACAAGTTCAGAGACACTGAATAATGTGCCCAAACATGCACAGCGAGATGAAACCTGGATTCAAAGGCAGTTCCCCCTGGCCACAAAGCCAGTGCTTTTTAATGAAGGGTGAAAAAGATCAGATCAATAGTCATTTTAAAATATTGCCTAAAAATGTGAGAGCAGGTGGAGTGAGTCAGCCACCTCTCTCCTGCAAATACCTTGTGTTCCTGAGTTTTGAAACACTCCCTCCTCGCACCTTCCCTTCAATTTCCTCTGCAGAATGAATGCTGAGTCCAAGTGGGACTTTTAGTTGAGACATCTTAATTGCCATATACACTGCAGGAAGGGTTTTAAATCTCTCTGTTGGATTGCGCGAAAACTCCACAAAGGCTCTGCTCCACAAATGTAAATTTAAAAATAAAAAATAAACGTATCAGGCATCTGATAAAAAAAGAACTACATACTCACTTCTCTCCAGATTAGACAGAAATTTTCACTGTCAATCTCTCCTCAAAATGTGTACCCCACAATTTTAAAATATAAAAATTTTAAAAGTTAAAAAAAGTAAAATAAACAAGTATCTATTGATTTAAGGAAAAATTTTTCACTTAGAAATAAAAGTTACAATGACATGTCATTAAACTAAAATCAAGTGTAATCTTTGTACAATATAATGCAGAATAAACACTAAATTAAGATGGAATTTTGAGCTAAGAAATTTTAATTTTCATTATTACAACAGAATGACAGGCTTGATTTCTTTTTACTATTATAAAATAAAACACAGATACAGAAAACACACAGACGTACAGCCCAATGATCTTTCTGATCTCCCTCCAAAAAAAGCATGAACTGTGTTTCTGAGTAACGTTGATAAAAGCCCTCCCATACCCTCCACCTCCCATATTTTGGGATCCTCGTCCACCCCTTCCTCTAGAGATGAGCAGCAATCATGCAGTAAGGGTACCTGCTGGACATGCCCTGGCATAAAGAAAAAAGGCTTTATACTGACCTTGTTTATGTACGAGTGTCATAAAGCCCCTGGACTAAAACATCCATCACAGAACCCTGCAAATGGACTTACAACCCTTCCCACCATTCCAAAATCATTTGTGGTGAGCTCTCTCCCAGACATGTATATATTGAGTGATTTGGAAGGATACCCAGAAAAGGAGGCGCGTCAAGCGAGTCCAGGAATTAGATCCCTGACCTGGGAGGAGCGAGCTGCCGGCTCGGTCCATGCTCTGCCCATCCCAGTATACACTGCTTGCCCTCATCACCCCTGCAACCCTCCTTCACTGACTCTTGGCTTCTCCTCATTATTCAAGGCACGCACTTAACTTTGATCTACTGCCTGATTTATGCACTCCCATTTTTATCACTTTTTCTCAAAGGGCTCCTAAGTCACCCCTTTGAAGTCCTTGCTCATAATCTCTAGACCTCAGTGCCAGCTTCTCCTGGCAGCCCCATTCTCCTTCCAGGATGGAAAGCCTGACCCTCTTGGGTTTCCCTCTCTTCTTTGTCCTCCATATGCACTAACCAGCCAAATCCAAGAGCTCTTCCCTTCCACCTGTTGCTGCCTTTGCATTTCCAGTGGACCATACTGACTCTCACATCTCAGTACTACCGCATGGGACTACTGCAAAGACTCCAGGTCAATTTCTTCTCCTCTTGTCTTGACCTACTTCCACTTAACCCTGATTAAGTCCCATAAAACACAATCTGAGCAGAACTCTCAGGGATCTACAAGTGCCCATCTGGTCATGTTCGCACTCATCAGTCTGCCACAGAAGACCATCCAAAAGTCAGTGTCTAACCTCCTCAAAACAGACTCCATTTAACACAAAGCAGCTCCCGCCAGGATGGCTGCCAGCTGAGCCTGCACAATCCCATGTTTCATGGCCAGAATCAGCTCACACTACCCCCTGCCGGAGCACCAACCTGACCCTGCTCCACTTGCCCAAGGCCTTGCATCCTCCTATGTCCACCCGCAGAAGTCCCAAATAAACGTCACTGTACTGACTTTGGGTCTCAGAAAGAATGTCTTCTTCTGACCTTCTGGGACTCTCCCATGACATTTCACAACAGGCAAATGTCTGTGGAACTAATTTCTCTACACCTGTACCACTAAGTTGAAAGCTTTTTATGAGAGAAAACTCTGTGCCTGGGTACCACCGTGCCCAAGTGCCCACATGCCCTTTGCACCCCACACATATTCTGCACAAAATAGGTCCTGCTTTATCCCAAAAGGAATACAGTTCTTATCCTTTGAATTATATCTTGAATTGTATCTTTCTTTGCCTTTAAGTCCCAAGAACTGGTCCTGTCTAACCAGAAAGAACACTGTTACTTCCCTCCAAAAAACTGGCATAACATTTGTATTGTGACTAAAAAGGTGCTAATATGAAGAATGCAATAAAATACAATTAAATACCTACAAAGAGGCCTCAGACAAGAAGAATGTGAAACAAACACAGAATCCAATCCAATAGTAAAGATCAGTGAATAAAAATGCTGACCACTCAAACCAGGCAAAGGAACATGTGACTACTCAAACCAGGCAAAGGAACATCTGACCACTCAAACCAGGGGTCTGACCACTCAAACCAAGCAAAGGAACATCTGCATATAACTGGAACCTCAACCACATAAGTGGACTTCCAGTATTCAAGCATGGTAGCGTAGCTGTGTGACTCCAGGCTTAAGTCAGCGATAGCACTTTCAGAGCAACAACCTCAGCACCACTGCATTACAGTACCCTCTTGGCACTGACCACACTCTACACTGACCACCAGTTGAATTCCTTCAGGAGGTTACTTAATTGCTACTAGCCATAAGATAAACCAAAGCTACATTTTAAAAGCCACATGCAAAAGACCACATAAAAGCCAGGGACACCTGGTTTTAAGAACTGGTGTCTGCAAGCATTTAAAATTTTATACCTCTTTCATAATTGCAGCTGATTACAAAAATATACTACTTACTTTGCACCATCAAATACAATGGATTTGACTTGACCACACTGTCTAAAAAGAGACTGTAGTTGTTTATAGTAAAGGAATCCATAGGGAGGAATGTGCTTCAACTGTAAAACATAATACAATATCAATTAGAGCAGATTACAGAGCACTAACAAAATAGCTCATAAGTTCAAAGCTGTTGCACATTATTTTAGTTCATAAAAATATAGCTTATTAACATTAACCAAAATATATAGACTCTAAAGATCAGTACATTTAATGGCTTTTAAATTATAACTAAGTTTTAACAATAAATATGTTAAATAAAGGCTATTTCCCCCCTGTTAAAAGAGTGTAATAGTCTAATATAGCAAAATCAAGATTTCTGCTTTATTTTACCTTAAAACCATCAAGCTGACTACATATAGCTTTTTAAAACATAACATTTCAACATTTATCATAATACTATAAGAAAAGGATTGGCAGCCGGGCTCGGTGGCTCAGCCTGTAATCCCGCGCCTTTGGGAGGCTGAGGTGAGTGGATTGCTTGAGCCTGCGGGTTCGAGACCCGCCTGGGCAGTGAGACCTCATCTCTACAATAAATCAAAAAAATCAGCCAGGCGTGGTAGCGCATGCCTGTAATTCCGGCTACTCGGAAGGCTGAGGTGGAAGGATCGCCAGAGCCCAGCGGGTCAAGGTTGCGGTGGCTGGAAGCGGCCACTGCACTCCAGTCTGGGCAACAGAGTGAGGCTCCAACTCAAAAAAAGAAAAAAAAAAGAAAAGGATTGGCAATAGCAGGATACTGCCAGGGGAGGGACATCACATCAATAAGGGTATATGATCTCAAACCAAGCAAAGTGGGGACCAAAGGGAGGCCCAAATCTGTTTGATGATCACCTGTATACCTAATCCTGAATTGTACACCACATCTTTAAAATAAAATAAAATAAAATAAAATAAAATAAAATAAATAAAACATAACACTTCTACTTAAGGAATAATGGAAACCTAAACTTTGAAGGCAAATGTATAGGAGGGAGTGTTTCTTCATCACTACAGCTAGAAGGAAACTCACCCACTGCACCACAAGGGGTTACTGCAGCCCTTCCAGCACTCCATAAGCTCCCCCTGGGCCAGGGTGACCCTGTGCCAGCCCAGCTCTGCATGGACCCTGCCCCCGTAGCCAGCCCTGCCTATCTCAAAACACAACAGCTCCATGAGAGGCAGCAGGGAGTGAGGCGTGGCTAGGTCCCAGGTCCAGTTCAGAGCTTGTCTTGTCACTTCCTGGAGCTATGTATTTCCTTAGGTAAGTTATGGAATTACTCCCAGACTCAAGTGCCACATCATGAAGTAAGGATGATGATGGGAAACCCCCAACTAAAAGGGTTAATGTGAGGTTCAAAAAGAATTAAAAATACTTAGCACATGACCTCCCAAATAAGTGCTAAGTAAAGCTAGCCATTATTTAGCTTCCATGATGTACATGATAGTTAACTCTTGGTCCCCAGAGTGCACAATGGCCAGGCTGCCTGTGGTCGAAGAAGACAAGCACAGCACCCTCGAGTCTGAGAAAACTCAACTCCTACCACACCCTTTCCCTAGTGTAGCTGGGGGAAGAAGACCCCCAAGAGCCAAAGAGTGAGAAAGGACACTGACCAGAGAACTTAGAACTTTTTTTTTTCTGTTTTAAGAGGGAAGATTTAATGCGATCTCTTATTCCTTTTTAAATGGATGCACACAGCCGGGCTCGGTGGCTCAGCCTGTAATCCTGCACCTTTGGGAGGCTGAGGTGAGTGGATTGCCTGAGCCTGTGGGTTCGAGACCCGCCTGGGCAGCGAGACCTCATCTCTACAATAAATAAAAAAATCAGCCGGGCGTGGTAGAGCATGCCTGTAGTTCTGGCTACTCGGAAGGCTGAGGCGGAAGGATCGCCGGAGCCCAGCAGGTCGAGGCTGCACTGGCCGGGAGCGGCCACTGCACTCCAGTCTGGGTGACAGAGTGAGATTCCAACTTAAATAAATAAATAAATAAATAAAAATAAATGGATGTACACCGTTGCATTTTCTCCTAGGCTCGAAGCTGCGTACTCTTCCATTATTTAGTAATATTTTAGGCAAGCCTATGACAATTATACCAACAGTTTTTCTCAATCGTTACCACCCTGTTTTGCTCGTCCATACTCCCCTTCACCCTTTTCTCTATTATCTCTGACATTCCTGCTTGTGGCTGAACGTAAAAAGCAATTCCAGATTACAGCAAACTCAAAGGCCCCTGCTCCATAGCCTGGCCTCTGCTAAAGGAAGAAAAGGGGAAAAGTATGAAGGGCTATCATGGGTTGTGACTAGACACTACCAGAAACCCCAGTTTGTGTTCCAAAAACAGGCTCTTAGACATTTTTCCAGCAGATAACTCTACACTGGCTTGGAGAACAGGAAGGACTATTTCACAAACACCACTGTGTTTGAATTTCTAGAGGCTACCCAGGCCAAGAATACATCCCTACAGTGCTTCACCACACACTCATTACTGCAGCATTCATTGTCCCAGTCCTTGCAACAGGAGGGTTTTCACAACCAGCCCTTACACATCGAGGTTGGGGTGAGAGCATCATAGGAGACCCACTCAACAATTCAACATCCATCTAAGAAGGAGATTCAACCTCAAGAACTACATCTGTGATCATCTCACAGACAGTCTCAGGAGAAGTTGCCTCCACTGTGTGAGCCTCAGGGCTGTTGTTCATAGGCTGCTCAGGACTACTTTCCACCGCTGGTGGAACTAAAGTAGTCTCCATTTTCTTTTCTTTTTCTTTCTTTTTTTTTTTTTTAAGTTGGAGTCTCACTATGTCGAGCAGTTTGGAGTGTAGTGGCCACTCTAGCGTCGACCTGTTGGGCTTAGGCGATCCTTCCGCCTCAGCCTTCCAAGTAGCCAGAACTACAGGCGTGAGATACCACGCCCAGTTAATTTTTTGAGTTATTGTAGAGACAAGGTCCTGCCAAGATGCCCAGGCTGTTCTCGAACCCATGGGCTCAGGCCTCCCAAAGTGCTGGGATTACAGGCTTGAGTCATCATATCCAACCTCCATTTTCAAAGTGGGTAGAGACACACTCCTGATTTGTGGAGGAGGTTGCTGTGGCTGTAAATTGATTCAAACTTTCTGGGGTGGAGGCTGTTGCATAGCCTGAAGGGGAGGAGGCTGCTGTAGAATGGTTACTTGGTGCTGACTTGGAGGCTGAGGTATCTGTTGTAATAGAGGGGGCTGTAGCTGGGGTGAAGGCAGTTGCACAGAAGCGGCAGCTGCTGCTCCCGCTGCTTCCTGCAACACCGACTGAGTAACAACCTAGGCTTGTTGACTGGGCTAGATAGTAGTTGTACTGGCTTGGCCTAACTGGAGTCTCCAGAAGGTCACCACTGTGGCTGGGATAACAATAACCATCCCTCCTTGAGACATGGTAACAGAAGAGGGCAACATTTGTTTGATAATAATCAACTTGGTGATATTGGGTTGACCTTCAGCCCCAGAAGATGCCTGGTTTAATACATAGGAAGAAAGAGTAGAGTTAACAACAATGGAACAGGGTAGGGGGCTGTGTTAAGTCTTTAATGACCCAGGAGATGCTGGGTTAACAGTAGCCACAGGAGGTGGAAAAGGAGTCTGATGGTGGCACCAGATCCAGTTCCACTGTTTCCACAGTGGGCTGACACTCTGTCTTTATAAGCAGCCAGAATCTTCAGATACTCTTTCTTGGCAGCCTCAGTTTTCCTTTTATACATCGATTTTTGCTCCTCTCCAAGACAATCCCACATAGAGGCCACAATTTTTGAAACCTCTCCAAAAATGGCATTAGAATTCTGTGTCTTGATGGCAGACTGTATATCACGAAAGAATAAAGCATATGCTGAAACCGGTTTCTGAGGTTCATTGGGATCTCTTTTTTTCTCTTCTTTGGAGCCTTCTGCTTTTTCCCTGCTTCTACCACCACTGACTCCTGGCTGGGAAGTTGCCTCCGGAAATGCTCAACATCATCCTCATGAAGCGAACTGGTAGGTAAAGGGATGGCTGAAAGACGATCCTCGGGTGACTGGGCAGTTAGCAGGATGGTGCCACTCTCTAAGCTCAAATCAACCTGAGAACTCAGTTCTGATTAATGGTGGTCAACAGGCTATGCTCCATCAAGCCAGATGTCATGTTTGTCATTGGTACATCAATTGTAACAGGTGGGTTGGCACTATACTGAGTTCTCTTAGAATAGTCCAAATCCATTGCCCCCACTCAGGAGCCCCCTTCCCTGCTCCATCAAGCCATGGGTCATGCCCACAGACATGTCCAATGTCTGGACCCCACACCGGGCTGAAAAACTGCCACCCTGTGAGGAGGAAGGGTCTGCCAGGTCATCAAAGTGGCCAACCACATCTGAGACAGCCAGTGAGGGATCAGAATCCAAGGAGATATGTGGGATTTCAAATTCCTCCTCACCTAAGCTTGATTACTGACAAGAGCACAGGGCCCAAGCAAACGATTCTCAACGACTATAAAAAAAAAATGCCCTTCCACAAGTATAAACTGTCCTCAGCTGCCTCATCAGATATCTCCAACTGCAATGCTCTATCCACCTATGCACGCCCTTTCCTCATTACAGCAGTGGTGGTAACCGGAATAAAAGCTGACAATGTGCTTCCAGGAACAAACTTTAAGTGTTTTTCATTCCCCTTTACCAGACACAGGCATATGCTGGAGCCAAGTAGTTCAAAAAAAGCCTAATTCCTTATTCCAGCTTTGAATGCCACCGCTGCTAGGGTTTCAACAAATGGTCCACAAATGCTAATCCAATGGTCAGTGCCTGTAGCTAATCATTAGACTTAACCAAAGTACAAGCTGTAGGGGGAGTGGTGGGGGTGGGATTGGTGGTTGAGAGAAACTGCTAGGGGAGGGAAGGTTACCTGCATAATCAATCTTCGTATACCTAACCCTGAATTGTACCCCACATCTTTATAATTAAAAAAAAAAGAAATGTCAATTTCTAGGCCACTCCTTCTTCTGCAGATCTTGTGAGACTCTCAAATCTGAATTAAAAACAACACTCTCCTGGTGGCTCTGCTGGGCATCCCAGCTGGGGACCACCAGCCTAACCTCCAGTGCTCAGCTGCCAGTCAGTAGCACTTTATTTTGTGTAAAATGAAGTTGTGAATTAATAAAATATAGCCAGGTATGGTGGCTCACACCTGTAATTCCAGCACTTTGGGAAGCTGAGGCGAGACAATTGCCTGAACCCAGGAGTTTGAGATCAGCCTGGGCAACTAGGCAAGACCTCATCTATAAATAAATAAATAGCCAGGCATGGGCTCACGCCTATAATTTCAGCTACTTGGAAGTCTGAGGTGGAAGGATCACTTGAGCCCAGTAGATTGAGGCTACAGTGGCTGTGAGCATGCCACTGCACTCCAGTCTGGCAACAGAGTGAGACTCTTAACTCAAAAAAAAAAGTTCTTAAACTTATAGAGAAGTGCCTTAAATCCTTCAAAATAGCACAAGATCAAATCAGCATTAGCCACAAATATATAAATTCTCAAGGCTTCCATGGAAAGTCAGGTCTGTAAAAAGGGAGGCAAGAGACTGAGGGACAAGTAGATATATCTGAAAAGGTCAAACAAGTCTAACAGTCACTCTAGGGGAAATTCACTTAGTACTCACACAAATAGAAAGAATTAGAGAAATAAAACATTCCATACTGACCACATTAAAATGAAGCTCCATCTGAAAACTCCTGGCTCAGTCTACACCCCAGGCAAGTCTTACCCCCTGCACCTACCACGACAGTCGTCTTCGGGTCTTTGCCCGCCAGCTCTCTGACTGCCATCTCCTCATCAGGCTGTCCAAAAGTAAAATAGTTTGGATAAAAAGCACCTGACAATACAACCTAGAAAAGAAACGTATTTTCATGAAGTAACAGCATTATTTTATCAGTTATTCTCACCAGTTTGCTAATCTCATCCCAGCATGATATGATATCTATAAATGTAAAAGACGGGTATTGTTTGTATAAAATACTAGGCCTTTTACCAGTCAAGCAAAAAGTCACATTTCTGGTGATTCTGCCATAACAGAAACACTTTTTACTCAGTTTGTCTTAAGAAAGAGCTCAAGTACTTCTCAGAATGAGGTTTAGGAAACAGTAGTGAGCTGAATAAGAATATAAACAATCCACACAAAGCCCCAGGGGTTAGTCAACTCTCTCCACTTTCTCCCCAACATGTCTATGGGCTGAGCATTCTCCCAGATGTTCAGATAAACTCCAATCAATTAGACCTGGGGCAGCAGGCTGACATCCACTATTCACCTCTAACAAGCAATCAGCAAAAAGTCCCTTCTTCAATAAAAATATGTCCTATTTGAAACATACACCCACAGAAGACTCTCCCCACCCTTAAGGCAATTCTACATCCAGGAAAACACTCGCATTGCCAGCACACCCTGTTTCCAAGCATCTACCTCGAACTCATATCGTCATGCATCAGTCACCTATCCTCTGAAACCCTCCCCCTGCCAATACACACTTTCCTCTACAAAATTCCTGTAAGGGTCCATCTAAATGCTAGTAATCTGAATCCAAGCCCTCCAAAGTTAAAAGAACATTTTCAGTGTAAGGGAATAGCTATGCCCACAGAACAGTATTAAGAACATTTTGGGCTGGGTGTGGTGGCTCAAGTCTGTAATCCCAGCACTTTGGGAGGCCAAGGTGAGAGGATTGCCTGAGCCTAGGCGTTCAAGACCAGTCTGGGCAACTTGATGAGACCTCTTCTCACAATAAATCAAGAAATTAGCTGGGCATGGTAGTGTGCACCTGTAGTTCCAGCTACTTGGAAGGTTGAGGCAGAAAGATCGCCTGAGCCCAGTAGGTTGAGGCTGCAGTGGCCATGAGCGAGCCACTGCACTCCAGCCTGGGCAACAGAGTGAGACTGCTGCTACTCAAAAAAAAAGAGCATTCTGTACTTTCTTAAAAGTTAAAACAAAAGCATCTCTCCTGAAGCAGTAATAACAGCTGGTACTCCATAGAACCACTCCCCTGGAAATCAGAAATAGGTCTGAATCCATTAAATAAATAAAAACACCCTGACTGATTAATAAATAAACACTCTCTAGATGGATCATCAACTCACTGACATGAAGGATGAAAACCATGAAAGGTAAGAATTTTTCTTAGTTTCCAAATGCAATATAAACATTGTGGACCTAAAATCTCCTTTGAGGCATGGTATCAGAAAGCAGAAGTAAACAATTTCTCAACCACAAAACCTCGTAAGCACAAAGAATCAGCAAAGAGATGTCCGGGAAACTCCAGCCCACCTGCAGAATGAATCGTTGCTTATATATGTACTCTTGATCCATGACAGGTCGCCGAGAACCAACATACATGTGGAATTGTGAGACTCTATTCTTCAACTCTTCATATAATTCAGCCACCTAAGGAAAACACATTGAAATCTGATGTCCCAGAACACATGTGTTATCCTAATAGCAAAAACACTAGAAAGTAAGTGCACAATGGGAAAGTATTCATACATCTATAGAATGAAGACTTGCAGCTATTAAGAATCATCTTATTAAAGATTAATAAGGAATGCAAAATATGATCAATACAATACTAACAGAAAATAGCAGAATACAAAACCATATATGCGTCATGATCCCGGTTTATAAATATTCACCTCTGATCAAAACCAATGCAAATATGTAACTGGAATCACCTAGGGGTGTCAGAATAGCAGATAACTATGACCACAGCCTTTGCTTTAAGTCCTTTGAACACTTTCCAATCCTCTCATGAATGTGCTTTTGTGATTAAAAACAAGGTAAGTGACCAATGGCTAAATAGTTCATTCAATTGGGGGGAAAAAAATCAACATCCAGTTGTAACAAAAACTGTTTCATACAAAATGTCAAACTTTAAGTGCACACACGAAGCCAAACACAGTGGCTCACGCCTCTAATCCCAGCACTTTGGGAGGCTGAGGTGGGAGAAACGTTTGAGGCCAAGAGTTCAAGACCACCACCCAAGATGAGCCCCAGAACAAGATGGCAGACCTGCATCCCATGTCTTCCTGCAGGTTCCCCACACCATATGTCCCTTTAAGAATCTCCCAGAGCCTGAAAACTCAAGGGGGGGGGGGGTTGTGACTTTACCATTTCCTCAGGTTGGAGGATATTTAATAAAACCTATTTTCCTTTCCACCAACTCTGGTCTCTCAAGTTTGGCTTCCAGGTGATACGTGGCTAGACTTGAAATCACTGACACAATCACAGGTGTGAATATAACTGGGGGAAAAACAACTAAAAATAAAAATAATTGAAATAGAAAAACTTAACAGCCATATGTTCAAGGAGGGTAGAAAAGCTTGGGACATGGGGCAAAGGGGAAACACACTGAGATAGATGCTCACCTCTCTACCTCTACATTATGGAAATCTTCCATGCATCCGTACTCACACGTAACTGATCTAATTAAAAATCAAGTTAAGACTTTGCCATTTTCTTTACTAAAATGCAATAAAATCAGAAATTAATAACAAAACAATATATTTTAAAACATTTCTTTATGCCTGAAAACTATCAAAATCTCATCTAAAAAAATTTTAAGTCAAAGGAAAAACTAACACTAAGAGAAATTATAGACAGGAATATCAAAAATCAATGAATGGGATGTGGTCAAAACTGTGCCCATAATAAAATTCATAAAATAAACTAAAATCCTTTTAATTAAAAAGATTGAAAATATTAAGGAATTAAATACTCATTTCAAGAAGACTGAAAAAGTCTTCCAAGAGACACAGGAGAACTAAAGTAACAGAAAAGAGCAAAAAGCAATCAATTGGAATTCTCCACCCTTCCCCCCCCCCAGAAAAACCTACACAGTAAAACTGACAAGTAAACCAAGAAATACAAGAAAACAAACTAAACATCTTGCAAACTGTTCAGTAAAGGAGTAATTCAGCAGTTCTGAACTGTCCAGACCCTTGCATATTCCAAAGAAAGGCTCTGGCCCAGCTCCTGAAAGGTAATCACTAAGCCCCGGGAATTATCCTACCTGATAAGAGTGTCCTGGGGCCTTGAGCTGCCCACAAATGGTTTATGCTAGAATGTGATTGATGGTGGGGTTTTGGGTCGTAAGGATATCTGTTTGACCTCTAGAGGGGCTGAAGACTGAGTAACCAAGGTCAGCCACATGGATACTCCATCCTACATAAACAATCCTCAGTAAAAACTTGGGAATACCAAGGCTCAGGGAGCTTCCCTGATTGCAGTACTTTATCCCTGTTGTCATACACTGTTATTGAGAGAATTCGTGGCTGTCTGTAAGACTCCAATGGAAGAGGACACTCCGACATCTGTACCTGGTTTCTCCTTCCATGTACATTTTACCTTTGCTGATTTTAATCCATATCCTTTAGGGGTAATAAACTGTAAGCATAACAGCTTTTCTGAGTTCTGTAAGTCTTTCTAGCCAATCACTAAACCTAAGGACGGTCTTGGGGACTCCCTTAAACACTAAATATAATCAAGAAACAATGAGAGTAAACATATGCGTGATATTTGGAACAAGAAAGATGTTACCACTTGACACAGATTTGAAATTAAGAAAATTACTAATAACTACATACCAATAAACTTGAGGATCTAGAAAAAAAGTACACTTTAATGAAAAATATAACTTATCAAGAATGACTCCAGAAGAGTTAGAACCCAGAATGAATCAATAACTATCAGGAAAATTAAAAACGTTATTTAAAAAAAAAATCTATTTCTCAAAAAGGCACTGGTCCCAAGTGCTTTTATGGATGATTTCTACCAAACTTGTAAGAAACATATATTTCTAGTAATTATACTGTTAATTTAAACTTTTCCCGGGCATAGATGCTCAACCTATGACAGTAGTATAAACCTAATAATACCAAAATCTAATAATACTGTGCATGCACAAGTGTGCACATACAAACACACATATAAATCAGAGGCCAATTTTACTTATGAACACAAAGGCAAAATTTCTAGAGACAATATTGGCAATCAGAACCCAGCAAGTTTTGAGAGAACATATAACCAAGTAGAGCTCATTCCAAGAACACAATGCTGGATCAAAAGTAGGAAATCCATAATGTATTATAATGTAAGTCATGCTCCACCTAGCAACGTCTTGGTCAATGATGAATCAAATATACAACAGTGGTCCCATTAAGATGAGAAAAGAACTAAAAACAAAATTCCTATCGCCAAGTCATAGCCATCACAATACAACACATTGCCTACGTGTTTGCAGTGATGCTGGTATAAACAAACCTACTGTGCTGCCATTCGTGTAAAGGATAGCATATACAGCATATACAGTATATATAGTACATAATGTGTGTGTTGGCCTTGAACAACATGGGGTTGAACTACCAGGGTCCACTTACACGCGGATTTTTTTTTTTAACCAAACATGGATTGAAAAAACAGTATTCACAGAGTGCAAAACCAGAGTATATAGAGGGCTGACTTTTCATATACATGGGTTTGGCAGGGTTGACAATGGGACTTGAGTACGTGCAGCTTTTGGTATGGGGGGGTCCTGAAACCAATCCCCTGCATATAACAAGAGACAATTGTACTTGAGAATGACAATAAATAACTAGTTACTGGCTTATATATTTACTATATTTTATCATTATTTTAGAGTGTACTCCTTCTACTTATTAAAAAAGAAGTTAACTATAAAATATCCTCAGGCAGGTCTTTCAGAAGGTATTTCAGAAGAAGGCACTGATATCATAGAAGATGACAGTTTCATGTGTGTGTGTGTGTTATTGACCCTGAAGACCTTTCAGTGGGACAAGACTTGGAAGTGTAAGATAGTGACGTTGATTATTTTGACCCTGTGTAGGTCTAGGCTAATGTGTATGCTTGTGTCTTAGTTTCATTTTATTTCATTTTTGAGTTAGGGTCTCACTCTGTCACCCAGGCTGGAGTGCAGTGGCATAATCATGGCCCGCCTCAGTCTCAAACTCCTGGGCTCAAGCAATCTTCCCATCTCAGTTTCCTGAGTAGCTAGGACTACAGGTACACAACACCACACCCAACTAATTTTGTTTTATTTTTTGTAGAGATGGAGTCTCACTATGTTGCCAAGGCTGGTCTCAAATTCCTGGGCTCAAGCAATACTCCCACCTTGGCCTCCCAAAGTGCTAGGATTACAGGTGTGAGCCACCACACCCAGCCTGTGTCTTAGCTTTTTTTTTTTTTTTTTTGAGTTGGAGTCTCACTCTGTCACCCAGACTGGAGTGCAGTGGCCGCTCCCGGCCACCGCAGCCTCCACCTGCTGGACTCCGGCGATCCTTCCGCCTCAGCCTTCCAAGTAGCCGGAATTACAGGCATGCGCTACCACACCCGGCTGATTTTTTGATTTATTGTAGAGATGAGGTCAGGCGGGTCTCGAACCCGCGGGCTCAGGCAATTCACTCACCTCAGCCTCCCAAAGGCGGGGGATTACAGGCTGAGCCACCGAGCCCGGCTTGTGTCTTAGTTTTAAACAAAAAAGTTTAAAAAGTAAAAAACAATTAAAATGTTTTAAAATAGAAAAAAGTTTACAGAATAAAGATACAAAGTATTTTTATACAACTGTGCAATGTTTTTGTTTTAAGCTAAATATTATTTTCAAAAAGTTAAAAAAATTTTAAAGTTTTTTAAATAAAAAAGTTACAGTAAGCTAAGATTAATGTATTAAGAAAGATAATTTTTTAAATCAATTTAGTGGAGACTGAAGTATACAGTGTTTATAAAGTCTACAGTAGTGTACAGTCATGTCCTAGAACTTCATGTTCACTCACCACTCACTCACTGACTCACCCAGAACTACTTCCAATCCTGCTGGATCCACTCATGGTAACTGCCCTATACAGGTGGACCATTTTTATCTTTGATATCATATTTTTACTGCACCTTTTCTATGTTTAGATATACAAATACCATTGTGCTACAATTGCCTACAGTATTCAGTACATGCCACACAGGTTTGTAGCCTAGGAACAACAAGCTATCCCATACAGACTAGGTATGTAGCAAACTGTACCATCTGTGCATGTGTAAGTATACTCTATGATGTTTGCATAAGGACAAAATCACCTAATAACTCATTTCTCAGAGTGTATCCCCATCATTAAGCAATGCACGACTATATTAATAAGTTAAAAATTAAAGGACCAAATGTTTATCTTGATATATACCGAAACAACATATAGCAAGATTACACATCCATTCCTCATTAAATTATGTATGGGGGGAATATTCCTTAACTTGAAAAAGTATTAGAAATCCAAGTAGTTATATTGAAGGCGAATTACACCTACTAAAGTTAGAAACAGGCAAGAAATATACTTCTTGGAGTATTCAGCACTGTCCATGTATTGTTGGTACTTAATAAACATTTGGTAAGTCTATTTTATTTTCATCCATTTAGTTCCAAAATTTAACTTACCTCTCTAATTCTCTTGATTTGAATGTAATTTAACCGCCCCCAGTCAAGTTCATCCTTTAAGCATATAAAAACACAATATTCAATATTAAGGTAATAAATTTGAGTTTAATTTGGCTACTATAATACATATGTCTCATCCAAAAATTTAATGATAAATGTAAGTTATTGAACTAATAAACAGTGTACTGAAGTTGACCATGGTATGCCCTCTCAGGAGCATCCAATTTTACACTGAAGCCAAAAACATAAGACCCAACCATAAGCATTATACAGAAACTTTCTTTTTTTTGAGTTGGAGTCTCACTCCATTGCCCAGGCTGGAGTGCAGTGGTATGCTCACGGCCACCCCAGCATTAATCTGCTGGACTCTGGCGATGTTTTCACCTCAGCCTTCCAAGTAGCTGTAACTTTTTTTTTTTTTTTTTTTTTTTTTGAGTTGGAGTCTCACTCTGTCACCCAGGCTGAAGTGCAGTGGCATGCTCATGGCCACCACAGTCTCGACCTGCTGGGCTCAGGTGATCCTTCCGCCTCAGCCCTCCAAGTAGCTGGAACTACAGGCATGCACCACCATACCCAGCTAATTTTTTATTTATTGTAGAGATGAGGTCTCACCAAGTTGCCCAAGTTGGTCTCAAACCCACAGGTTCAGGCAATCCTCTCAACTCAGCCTCCCAAAGTGCTGGGATTATAGGTGTGTGCCACAGTGCCCAGCCCAGAAACTCTTTCTATGAGTGTATTTCGCTCAAAAATTGAAGGTAGACTCAACTTGATTAACTTGGGAAAAGATATCTGACAGATTGTATACCAACAAAAAAATAATATGGTTAGTCTTGTGAAGGTGAATTTAAAGGATTAACTCATATACTTATTGATAAAGATACGTCTAGACACAGCAAATTTACACACAGACAGACCTATATAGTCTTTTGAACCAAATCAATTTAGGAAGAGAAGAACAAAACCTAACCAAAAAAAGAATAAAACGAAGGCTAACAGGTTAAGTTTCTTTTAAGTCCATTATCTAAAACTGAGACTAAAACAACGAAAAGCAAAGGCCACAGGGCTCTTAATTTTGGACCAACATGTCCAAACACCCATAGGTATGATATACTCCCAGCCAAAGAGGTTACAGGCATTACAGAAAGATCACTGCAACACAGGGTAGTAAAACAAGCAGCATGGTTCCACGCAGGTCTGGAGAGCTGCCTTCTGAAAAGAGACTAAAGCAAAAGGATGAGGCCATCCAGACTATGGCCTGCTACTCTCAGGACAGCCATGTGAGCCATCTATAGTGAACTCAACCCTGGTGACAGCACCATCATGATTCACGGGCAAGCTGAGACAGAGGCCGCAGGGAGTCTCTGATCACTCCCAGTCATCTACAAGGAAACAAAGAAGCGGCTCACCAACCTTAGGATGCCGCAGCTCTCCTCTTTGTCGGCAGGCCTGCCATGTCTGAAAATAAAGGCTCCAGAGTTTCAAAATAATTTATGACGAGCTGAATTTTCTTAAGTCCAGTTTCAACACATTGTAACCATAGAAAGTTTACAAATTGAATTTTTTCAATGTTGTAAGATTGGGCTCCACCCGCAGTCACTTCTTCCAGCACAGTTTATTTATTGGACACCAATAACTCTAGTAAAACTTTAGTGAGAGAAAATATTTTCTCTTTCTACAAGTTTATGGCATGAAAATGTACTAACAATCTATAGCAACTGCTTTCAGCTAAAAGGACAGAGCCCAAAATGGAGTTTCTCTGGTCACCTTAAGCTCATACACAACAATAAATACTTTCCTGGAACCCTGGGTAAGTCAGAAGACATTCAGATTAACATCTTTGTCCAAAGAATTTCTCTTTCACCTACTGATCCTGCCCTTCTCATCTACGTGACTGACCCACCCATCTAGCTGCCAGTCCACCTTTCTCTGTTTGCTGATGACCAACCTGCCCATTAGTCCCGTGACTGTGATGTCAGCTCCTGTGAATGCTTACCTGCTCCAACTCCCTGCAAAAAGCTTTAAAACCCCCTAGTCTCAAGCATTCACCGCCATACTTTCTTTAAGCATATGGCCCCCTCTCCAATCTCAGAGAGGTGGATCCACCCTTTTTTCTCGGATTTACTTTCTAAACAAAGTTTCTTTTCTAATCTAATTTCTGTGCAATTCTTTGCCTCTTACCCATAGCACCAGCCCACTGACCTAACACATAGGTTACACAACAGAAAACTTACTTTAAATGCCTCAACAAGTGCAATGCAGTCACTCTTACTATTTCCAGAGAAATTCACTTTGTTCCTATAAACAGATAACAAAAGCATCACTCAACACTACTTTAAAATGACTCTTGCTGTGCATATTTTAAAGTAGTTAAATACTTAAATACCTGTATCCATCAAGGTGCTGTCGAAAAGGCATCACAAAAAAATTCTTCAAAGAAAGAGCTGCCGCTAACAACAGAAGAAACAAGAGGATGTAAGATTGTTAGAGTGACATCACAGAAACTTCCCATTAGCATTTGTTCTTACACTTACCTATAATAAGACATTCATCAAGACATCCAAATACATGTCCAAGGACTATGAGTTTACCAAGTTGCTGATTAACAGGAAGTTGTGCTAAAACTCTTCCTAAGAAGGTCAATTCACCATCATGGGGGTTTTCATCTTCTCTCTGCCCGCTCACTGCAAGTGCTCCAACCTTTATAAAATAAAATTAATGCTATCAGCAAGCAATGACTTATTCACATTCTTTTTTCCCCTAAGGCAGAGAGTCCAAAATGGAAAATGAATAAGGTTCAAAAAGAAAACTAAGTCGACTTATGAAAGGTTGATGCTAGCCAGGCTTGGTGGCTCAGCCTGTAATCCCGCGCCTTTGGGAGGCGGAGGTGAGTGGATTGCCTGAGCCCGCGGGTTCAAGATCTGCCTGGGCAACTTGGTGAGACCTCATCTCTACAATAAATCAAAATGAGCAGGCGTGGTAGCGTGCACCTGTAGTTCCAGCTACTTGGAAGGCTGAGGCAGAAGGATTGCCGGAGCTCAGCAGGTCGAGGCTGCAGTGGCCGAGAGTGGCCACTGCACTCCAGTCTGGGTAACAGAATGAGACTCCAACTCAAAAAAAAAAAGAAAAAAAGAAAGGCTGATGCTACCAAAAAATTTTATTTTACTTTGTTTTTGAAACTTAGAACACAAAACACATTTTACTGTTTCCTAAAATGTATGATACTGGTAAGTAACACTCAAGGATACTTCCACAAAAGTCTGTTTACTTCACAATTTAACAAATGCAGCATGCACAGTAGTACTAAATGAGGGACCCCAATGACCATAACATGGTGGCCACTCACAATAAAAACTTACTAAATTACGTATAGCAAAAAAATTCCCTGAACTTGACACAGTGTATTTCATGGAAACCCAAGCAGGTATCATATTGAAAAGGTAAAACACCAGAGACATCCCCAATTTCCAGGGCCAGAATCAGAACATCCACAGCCCTAGCAAATAGTATGTAGACTGGGAAGCAGCTTGTATCAAGGCCTTGGTTACAAGTTGCAAGAGCAGAGCATGAGTTAAGTGAGTTGGTCAAAAATCCAAAGTGGAAAGAGCAGGGCTTCCAGGAATGGATAACGAAAGCTGGGAGAAGAGTGAGGAGCAGACCGGGGGAGTCACAGCAGAAGAAAAGAGCTCTATGGATGCTGTTTCTGTCACTGCTCATCACGGACAACAAACAGCACGCATGGGGTGCTATGGGGAAGCCGTGGAGAGGTAAGAGTAGAGGTTGTGAGTTTCAGCAAGACAACCAAAAAAGTTGCTGTAAGCAACATGTACAAAACCTAGAATCAATTATTCAATCAAATGCTGATTATTTATAACAGTTAAAACATCTTAAACATATCCACATTGTAATAAAATGTAGGTTCTCCCCACAAAAAAACATCTTAGCTTTCCCCAACACTAATAAACATCAGACAGTCCTACCTCCTTTAGTAGAAGAATAGTCCGTTCAATGTCACTCAGGCCAGGCGGGGATAGGGCAGTCGCCAGCAAAGCTCTTGGTTCACCCATGTCAAGTAATTTCACTTTCAATATTGTACTTCCTAATGGACAACGCTGAAAAGAATACAACTTAAATTTTAAAATAGTAAAATAACTAAATCAATTAACCCATTCACATGACCCGTGCTTTTGAGAGAGACAGGAGGAGAAAAAAAGAAGCAAGAAAAGTAGAGAAGATGGAGAAAGAGATGGGAAAGAGAGAAGGAAAAGGAGAAGACAGAAGGAGAGAGAACAAAAGAGAAAGGGGAAAGGGACAAAGGGAGAGAGAAAGGGAAAAAGAAAGAGAAGGAAAAGAAGGCTAATAAAGTAGGGGAGAAAAACACAGGAGGGAGAGAAAAAGGAAAGAGGAAGATGAGAAAAGAGGAGAGAGACATATAATGAAAGAAAAAAGCTGATTCCACAATTATTAATCATAAAAGGACATAGAAAACAGCAGCATTCGAAGACAATCCTCTTATAGACCCAATAGACATTCCTCACATTGAAAATGTAAAATTTGGTTAAAGTCCCTAAATTTAGAGCCTGGTGCTTCATCAATGGTAAGCTAGTATTGTGATTAAAGACGAGCATGGGTGAGCGTGGAGGCTCACACCTGTACTCCCAGCACTTTGGGAGGCAGAACTGGGAACTGCCTGAGCCCAGGGTTTGAGACCAGCCTGGGTAACTTGGCAAGACATCATCTCTAAAATAAATCAAAAAAATTAGCTGTGTGTGGCGGCACATGTCTGTAGACCCAGCTACTTAGAAGGGTGAGGCAGAAGGATCGCCTGAGCCTGGCAGGTCGAGGCTGCAGGAGTCATAAGTATGTCACTGCACTCCAGCCTGGGTGACAAGAGTCTCTGACTCAAAAATAAAATAAAATAAAAGATAAGCATAGTCAGATAATATTTTTTTCTGGAATCAAAATTATACAATACTTGAAATTATATCACTTAGATTATTCAGTAAAATTCTTATATATGAAAAATTAACTTGGACAAATGGCCCAAGTGAATTACCAACATCTCAGGAACAACATGATCAGGGATGGAGTTGTCCCAGAAATCCTTGTGGATCAGTCTGTAACAGTACCCTCTGGACACTCGCCCAGCACGGCCTTCAAAGGAGAGATGTTCAAACACCATTTGGCATTAATTATCTTAATATTAACATGAAGATATGTTTTCAAACAACCATTAAATTAATTAAGAAAAATCTTAATTACCTTCTACCTGACTAGGTCAGCAAAAATTTTAGAATAAGTCAGTGTATTAATAAAAATAAGTTATTTTTATTTCAAATAGGGTATTCTAAGTAAGAATTACCACTGAAAACACTTAGAATAAGATTAAGTGCTGACCTCTACTCAGTGCCCAATATTACAAAATCCAGTGCATACTTCTAAAGAAAACAACCTTGGCCCAACATGCAATAGAAACCAACCATTTTAAATGACACACATTTCCTGCAAATGTACAGTTCATACTAGAAAGTCATAAGGTTGGAAACAGGCCCTATAATGAGATCAAGTTGGTCATCAGGGCAGCTCAGGCTTCCCACCACTTCTGTCGCCAACCATCCTTGTACCACTGTGAGTTACCCCTCCAGGACACCAGCCACTATCCATTACATATCTGAGAAATGAACATTCAAAGGACTCAGAACCAAAATTAGCTTCAGGAGACCATGATACAGACTGCTTCTCTCTTGTGACTGCATTAATTAAAGCAATTCTAATCCTAACACTAATAAAATATAGGGGATGAGTAAAGGGAGAGGTGGAAAAGAGTCTTTAATAAATATTCAACTTTAAAAAGATTGACTGGCCCAGGGAGCTTTCCTTCCCCACCTGCAGGGTCAGGAAACTGAGGGAGAGACTGAACTCCTGTCCTTTCCATCCCCACCTGTCTTCCTGGGCCTCTCCCCCCATTGCCAGGAGAATGCATCAAGAGTCTGCACTTCCTCCTCCACCACCTCCCATGATCACCACCATCACCCACAATATTTGGAAATGACAGAATGGTCTAAGAAAATCCCACAGTAAGCACAAAAACAAATAAAAAAAAAATCCCTTCTTAGCAATAGTGAACTCAGAAAAGGTGGAGGATACAAAATCAACACATAAAAATCAATCACGAGCTGGGCTTGGTGGCTCAGCCTGTAATCCCGCATCTTTGGGAGGATGAGGTGAGTGGACTGCTTGAGCCCGCAGGTGCAAGACCCGCCTGGGCAGCGAGACCTCATTTATACAATAAATAAATAAAAAATCAGCCGGGCATGGTAGCGCACGCCTGTAATTCCAGCTACTCGGAAGGCTGAGGCGGAAGGATCACCAGAGTCCAGCAGGCAAGGCTGCGGTGGCCGGGAGCGGCCACTGCACTCCAGTCTGGGCGACCGAGTGAGACTCCAACTCAAAAAAAAAAAAAAAAAAAATCAATCACGTATCTAGGTACTATTAATGAACATGCGGAAGCCAAAATTAAAACACAAATGCCAATACTTCAAAACAAATGAAATACTTAGGTATAAATCGAACACAATACATATATAATCTATATGTTGAAAATTACACAAAGCTGATAAAAGAAGCCAAAGATGGCCTAAATAAACGGACACATACTATAACCATTGCAAGCTCAGCCACTCATCACTTGTACACCAAAATAAACAAGTATAAGATGTAGTGAAAAGGTGATTTTATTTCAAAAGCTAGGATCATACCCCAAAGAAACCATTTCAGCTATTTAGTCTGAGTACAAGGGTTTAAAAAGGGACACTTGGTAGAAACATGTGGGTGTGGCATAGGATGTGTCTTGTTGGCTTATCTTGGGTGAGGGATCCTCCCAGATGTCTGGTTGGTATTATCTCAGCCTCAGTCAGGCTATGGATCAACCATCTTGTGACCCCCTCCCAAGCAGGAGGGTCCTGCAGTCAGGTTAGACAAGTGTGTATGGTAGAAAGAAGTTCCTAAAACATGCTTCAAGGCTTAAGATGGGGGGGGGAACTACAAAATACATTTTAAGGTTGAGATACTCAGTTTCAATACCATGTTCAAGGACTGGACGAGTCAACATAGTAAATATGTGAATTTTTCGCAAATTGATCTACAGACTTAACATAATTCCTATCAAAATTACAAGAAAAATCTTTTGTAGATACAGACAAGCTTATTCTAAAATCCCTATGGAAAGATAAAAGACAGAAGAGGATGGACACGGTATCTCACACCTGTAATCCCAGCACTATGGGAAGCCAAGGCAAGAGGACTGCCTGAGCCCAGGGGCTCGAGACCAGCCTGGACAACTTGGCCAGACCTTGTCCCTACAAACCAATCAATAAATCAGTCAATAATCCGGGCATGGTGGTACACATCTGTGGTTCCTGCTACTTGAAAGGCTGAAGCAGAAGGATTGCCTGAGCCCAGCAGGTCGAGGCTGCAGTGGCTTTGAGTGTGCCACTGCACTCCAGTCTGGGTGACAGAGTGAGACTCCAACTCAAAACTAAAAAGTTCCAATCCATCATCAAGAAATATCCATCCTAAACACATATGCACTCTACATAAGAGCAGTAACTTTCATAAAGCAGCTTCTAGGTAAACTAAAAAAAGATACTGACTCTAACACTATCATATCTGGGGACTTAAACACCCTACTAACAAACCCAGACAGATCATCAAGACAAAAAGTCAACAAGGAGATCCAGAACTTCAATGTGACTCTTGACCAAATGAACTTAATTGATACCTACAGAACATTCCACCCAACAAGCACAGAATATACACTCTACTCATCACCACATGGAACATACCCTAAGCTTGACCACATCCTCTGCCATAAATCAAGCATAAACAAATTCCATAAGACTGAATTTCTGCCATGAACCTTCTCAGACCACAGTGGAATAAAAATAAGTACCAACACCATCAAAGTTCCCCCAAAACCCACAAAGACATGGACATTAAACACCATGATGCCAAACAACTCCCGGGTCAACACAGAAATCAAAACAGAGATTAAAAGATACCTGGAAATAAATGAAAATGAAGAAACATCTTACCAAAACCTCTGGGATGCCATGAAAACAGTAATAAGAGGGGAATTAATATCTCTACGAACACACATGAAGAAAATGGAAAGACCACAAGTCAACAGCCTGACAAATCACCTAAGAAGCTGGAAAAGCAAGACCACCAAAACCCCAACTTCAGCAGATGAATCCAGATCACCAAAATAAAATTCCAAATTCAGGACATAGAAGACAAAAATATAATACAAAAAAATCAATGAAACCAAAAGCTGATTTTTTGGAAGGATAAAATAGATTGATGGACCCCTAACTAGACTGACCAAGAAAAAGAGAGAAAAAGCCCAAATAAACACAATCAGAAATGCAACAGATGAAGTCACAACTGACCCCAAAGAAATACAAAAGATTATCAGAGATTACTATGTACACCTGTATGGAAACAAACTCGATAACCTAAAGAAAATGGAGGACTTTCTTACATCACACAACCTCCCCAGGTTGAAAGAAGAAGAAATCGAGACCCTAAATAGACCAATAACAACCCAGAAAATCTACTATGTCATAAGATAACTACATACAAAAAAAAGTCCTGGACCAGACGGCTTTCCAGCAGAATTCTACAAAACATACAAGTAGGAGCTGATACCATACCTATTGAAAGTATTCCAGGCAATCGAGAAAGATGGAACTCTCCCCAAATCATTTTATGAAGCTAACATCACATTGATACCCAAATCGGGTAACAATCCAACAAAGAAAGAGAACTACAGGCCAATATCCTTGATGAACACAGATGCTAAAATTCTCAACAAGATTCTAGCAAACTGGATCCAACAACACAGCTCAAAAATCATCCACATCCATGACCAAGTAGGCTTCATCCCACTGATGCAGAGCTGGTTCAACGTCCACAAGACCATAAACACAATTAAATACATCAACAGATGCAAAGACAAAAACCACATGATTATATTATTAGACGTAGAAAAAGCTTTCAATAAAATCCAGCACCTCTTCTTGGTAAAAATCCTTGAGCATCTAGGTATAGATAGAACACACCTCAAAGCAGTAAGAGCCATTTATAAGAAACCCACAGCCAACACACTGCTAAAAAGACAGAAACTGGAAGCATTTCCCTTGAAAACCGGAACAAGACAAGGATGCCCACTCTCATCCCTCCTGTTCAACATAGTACTGGAAGCCCTAGCTACAGCAATCAGATAAGAGAAGGAAGTCAGGCGTATAAAATAGGAAAAGGGGAAGTTAAGTTATCCCTCTTTGCAGATGACATGATTTTATACCTTGAAAACCCAAGAGAATCTGTCAAAAACCTCTTTGCACTGACAAAAGACTTTGGCAAAGTCTCAGGGTATAAAATCAACGTGCAAAAGACAGTTACATTTCTATATACCAACAATAAACAAACAGAAACCCAAATAAAAAGCATAATCTCATTCACAATAGCCACACACAAAAAATGAAATACCTTGGCATCTTACTAACCAGAGATGTGAAAGTCTTTTACAACGAAAACTACAAAACACTGCTCAAAGAAATCAAAGATGACATAAACAAATGGAAAAATATTCCATGTTCATGGACTGGAAGAATCAGCATTGTTAAGATGTCCATTCTATCCAAGGTAATCTACAGATTTAACAAAATACCTATTAAATTACCAGCAGTATTCTTCTCAGACTTGAAAATGACAATACAGGAATTTATATGGAAACATAAACGACCACAACAATCCTCAGCAACAAACAAACAAAAAAGCAGGAGGCATCACACTCCCAGACTTTAAATTTTATTATAAAGTTACAATAATCAAAACAGCCTGGTATTGATACAAGAACAGGCATACAGACCAATGGAACAGGACAGAGATTCCAGAAGCAAAACCTCAATTTCTCAACCAACTCATCTTTGATAAAGCCTCCACCACCCACCACTGGGAAGAGGAGAAACTATTCAGTAAATGGTGCTGGGAACATGCAGAAGATTAAAACAATATCCCTATCTATCACCATACACAAAAGTCAACCCTAAATGGATCAAAGACCTAAACATAAAATCTCAAACTATAAGAAC